CCACTGAACTAAACAATGTCTTCTCTCTCGTTTCCCAGTTTCCAGACTTTGGCCGCATTTCTAAGACGTCACATCTCATTGATTGAAGCTGCCATCTTGTTGTAATTTTCAGTTATTTCATCTATATTTCTCTGAGGTAATGAGCGTTACAATTTATTTTAAAAGCTTAGCTAGTGTCACTGTAAGCCTTTCACATTTAACTACTACTACACTGTGTTTCTGCATATACCTCAAAATTAATATCTGTCTTACATAGGCTTTTTGATGTTGCATACTTGTGAGGGAAAGAGAAAGTAGAACATAACAGAGCCAGTAGACAGATTTGTTTTTTTAACATGTTGACATCCTTGTTGCCATCTAATTTAGATCACACGATGATTCATTTGCGAGGTTACAATTAATCCGTTTGCACATACTTCCAAGCAATAAGTTGTGTGTGGCAGAAACAATAATATTGTAACCTCAAAAATGAATACTCACCCGGTCTGAATTGGGTGGCAACAAGGATATAAACACGTTACCCAGGTCTGCTACCCTATTACTGTCAACCTCCCTCCTAGGGTCTCTCTCTACACTCCAACCCTTCCCCTGAATTAAGACAGATGAGGATATGAGGTTCGCATTCACCACAATTCACATTGCTGGTTTACAGAAACTGCAGTGCATTCTAACTTCTGTAAAGAATTTAACTACGGCTATTATCAATTATTTTACATCAGTTTGTTTCGTAGTTAGGGTCTGGCACCCACAACCACCAAACAGGGTCAAAAATCAGCGTGATCACTCTAAAGAGTCCAAATGCAGATGCTAAAGTGACCATGGCAATGTTGACAGCATTCCACTCTGACATACTATGAANGGGGGGGGGGGGGAAGATGAGTTTCAGCTCTGAGTTTCCAGAGAGGGAAGATGGCAAACGCTTTGCTTGAAATTGCTGAGCTGATAACTTTTTCAGTTTCTTTATCAAGGACAAAGCGACTGCAGAAGCAGGATGAAGATCGATCTGGCAGGTGTTGGCCATCGCGTGGATGAGTGAGTGGATGGGTTGTACAGCGACCTCCACATCAAAGAGCCCTTAAAGTTGATGAATTAGTCTCCCGTTTCCAAAGGGAATGCCTGACAGATTTTTAGGCTGCATTAATAGCAGTTACTCAATAAACAAAATTTTCAATATGGCAGGTAACAGTGACAGCACATCATTAACTTTACTTTTGTCTCCCACTGGTATCAATATGATCTACTCTCCTGAAAACATGAAGCTAATGAACTGAAAACAAAAAGTTATATTTGGTGGTAAGCAACTTGATGATAACACTTCGAAGGGAAAGCTATGGTGTACTTTACTGAATGTTGACAAACTTGAGTCGCCTGTTTGCTTGACCAAAAATTGTGAGCAGAATTTTCTTGGAGGAGGGGAAAAGCGCAAGTTTCCCATTCGATAGAAATTTTAGGCAGAAAACAGGAATTTCAAAGGGTCTGAAAAAGCAAATCGGAAATTCTGGAGGGAAGGAGGGTTTAACAACTTTGGAATTCAGAGGGCATAGGGGGTAGAGCATTTTGGAATTTATGAAGGCAAGGGGGGAGGGGTTAAAATGTTCATGCTGCCTGTGGTAGGGTATGGATATTTTCTGGAATCACCCAATAATTGCAGAAATCCTCGTGTGCTCATTGGCTAATTTTCATTATCAATAAGAGGACAGACGCATGAATTTATCATTTATGCAATGTTGATGTGACTAGCGAGAGTGGACAATTTGACAATTTGTTATTGTAAAAAACAAATTGATGTCAGTTTTCATGAGTCTCTCCTGACAATGCTATGATGAAATTCATGATCAATAACAGGACAGATGCATGAAACTGGCATCAATTTGTTAAATTAATGTTTTCACTCAAAAGAAGTTCTCAAAAGACTTATTAATCTCAAAATTTGTTAATGATACAATTAATTAGTAATTGGACCTTGTGCTGTACAATTCTTATTATACATTGTAGTCACCATCTGTCTTCTTATTGGCTAAAAGACTACAGTTAATTCTGGGAATTAACTGTAACCTACAGTTAATTCTCATTGGCTAAAAGCCTACAGTTAATTCTGGGAAATTTTGGCAACCTACAGATTATTCACTAATCTGCTAGCAGATTAGTGAATAATCCATAGGTTGCACACGCAATGCATGATTTCCAAGAGCAATGTCAAGTTCACGTAAGAACATAGCTTGTTGAAAATAAACTGTGTTCAGTGTAATAATGCTTTTGCTGTTATTTTCTTTAAAACAATGTATAATAAAACAATTATGAGATTCGGTTTTTGTGATATTCGGCTGATAACACTTACCTTGACCTTGACTATTCCAGATATCACAAAAACCTCATCCAATAATTGTTAGGAAGTAATACTGTGCTCGTAATTTCAAATCAACCTCACGCTATGTACCAGTCCGATATTTTTGAAATTACTCGCTCAATTACTCCATGAATTGTACTCCACTCAGTCCAATCACTGTTACTAATTGTGAAAATTATAGACCACCCAAAATGCAGTATGTTAGAAGAATATGTCAAAAATTCATCATCACTAGACAAAACTATGGATATCATTATACCGTTACAACAGCCAACGGCTATTGACTTGTCGGACAAGCCATTATTTTCATGTTTTTATCCCGTGAAATAGACAAGGTCGCAGGAAGTTCAATTTTCTTGAATTCCAAGAATTCCCTTCTCCGAAACACGGCAATTGAATTTTATCAATGCAGAATAGGCTTTTAAATCATTATTTGCATTTTGGGAGTTCTGGATGTAAGTCTAGATTAAAATAATCATTTATCACCAATTAAGTGCGATGCGTGATGCAGTTCGAAACAGAAAATCAGAGACTGTTTCCTATTCAATTACGAAAGAAAACCTTCGAGATCTCGAGATTCGAGAGTGAAAACGTCGTGATAAAATCTTCGGGAACCCGTCACCCCTTGGAGTTTAAACGTGTCGTAAACTGCTAAGCTTAAATATTAACAACTTAAAATATTCAAATCATGAAGGTACAATGATAGCTGCTGAGCCCCTTAGCACCTTTTTGCTGTTTGCTCATTTAAAGTATTGTAACCTTGGAACACACTTTATGTAAGGTTAATAAATGTTCATGCTGACCTGTACACATATCATGCTCCCCACCATTCGCAACATCCACTCCGATAACGGTGTCACTTGTTCGTCCTTCACCGTGCCAGCTGGTAGCATGCGTTTCAGAATGGTTTTGGTGAAGAAGAAGTAGAGCACAACAGTCAAAAGTTCCAGTGCGATCTCCACAACGCTCACAGCAGACCATGATAAACGCCAGCGACAGCAGAAACAACGCGAGCCACGGCTTTCACGAGTAGATGGCAAAGTCGGCCATGTATCATATGACGCAGTCGGATCTACAGCATCAACAGATCTTGGGGTGCCATATCCGGGATCCATACTGAAGACAGTCCTCTGTTTTACAGTCACTCGCAGTTGTCAGTTCTGCAAGGTGAAAAAAAAAAGACAGCTCCAAGAACTACACCAATATGTACGAGCACAGTCTACACCCACTTCGAGAAACAGCATTTACCACGTGACTTTGATCACTTGATGAGGAGGTATATTCTCTTATGCCTCGACAAAGCCTAAGGAGAAATGATATTTTAATCAGAAGTGTTGTCTGACCAAGATGGCGGCGACTGAAGAAGCGCCGATCTTCATTTTTGCAGCTCTGAGCGCTTCTTTTTCTCGTAATTCTTTATTAGCATAAGCTAGAAGTGGCATATATGTATACAGAATGTTACGAGAAGTTTAAAATAGGTAAACGCTAGAAAACAAAAGTATTGAAATGTCCTAGACACTGTGACAGAAGTCTGTAAAGATAAGATTATATTTTTTGGACTGCGAAAACCACTGAGATGTCTGGCCATTATGTTCAACTTTGCCCTAATCCTCTTCGGTTTGAACCCGTCACCAAAGAAAACAGCGTCTTTTTTGACGAGGCAAACCGACAGGTGAGAGATAACTGAGAAAATTCAACTTTAGTACACACTTTGCGTTAAGATGACAAGCTTAATATTGTTTATGCTTAGTTAAGTTTAAGTTTTTGAACGGTCATGGATATTGTTTCAGGTCTTTTCTGTGACTTCTGTTGAGGGAAAAACTCGTGTTGTTGTCAGAGGGCCTGATGTCAAATCTTTCATCAGTTTCAAGTAGGTGATAAAACACAATAAGCTCTTCCTTTGAACACCTTTGATGAGAGGACTGAGTCCCATTCACATACACTCAAACCTTGTTAACAGAATAATGTTTGCGACCACAGGCAGAACCCCTCCTCTTCCCCCATCCCCCTCCCCCCAAAGTAGACACCTTGTATTGGTCACAGTTGCAATGATGAGTGCTACATTCTGCCCTTCCAAAGGTGGATACAATTTAAATACCTTAATTATTCTTAATTTTTTATTGTATGGACTATTTTCCTGGCCCAAAGAGTTTTCCTCTTACAGGTGGTTTGACTATACAAATGCTATATAGGGCACATTGAACTAAAACAGCACGATTTACAATGTAGTACCACAGTATGTATGGCTTGAGCTAGGCTTCATTGTCGTTGTGGAAGGAACAGGTTACCTTTTGTAAGATGGCACCTCCTATTAGTGGAGACAGGATTGCCTCATGGTTAGTGCGCTTAACTCCAGACCAAGCGATCCGTGTTCAAGCCCTGGCAGGGTTGTGTTGTTGGGCAAGACACTTAACTCTTATAGTGCCCCCTCTCTTCTCCCGGGTGTACAAATGGGTACCAGCAAATTTAATGCAGGGAGTAGCCTTGCAATGGACTAACATCCCATCCAGGGGTGGGAGGGGAGGGTTCAGAAATATTCCTAGTCACCTCATGCTACAGAAACTGGGATAAGCTTCAGCCTAATGGCCACTTAGCTCGTATGCAGACTTTGCCTTACCTTACATCCTATAAGTGCACAATAAGTCATATGACATTTCAGCCACATACACTTCATTTTGAAAGCTGGAGAAAGCAATTCCTTGGAATGTTATTTAAAAGTTATGACTCATTGTTTCATCCACACTAGCTCAAGTAAATATCTGTACTGTCTCATAACGGGGGGGAGGGGGGGGGATACCTCTCATGAGTAGTCATACATGGTATTTACTGTACATTTTTTAACTTATACTTCTTTGTTGTCAGCATACCAGCAGTGGGCCATGTGCAGTCTATAAAATTCTCCTATGACCGGAAGATACTAGCAGTTCAAAGATCCTTAAAAATTGTGGTAAGGGGACCTGTCCTCAGGACAGTTTTGAAATGTTAATAAGATTGCCTTTGTATTTGTGTATCCCAGAGCAACAGTAAGTTGTCTTGTCATAGTTCATCTTAGCCTACCTGCTACTGTCCCCACCCCTCTCCAAGGAAAAATGGGAGGTGGGTATATACAGGGGGTGGATACAGCTACGCTAAGTTCATTGTATCCTCGGTGATGTCATCAAACATGCCATAGGCTGTCTGCTTAAATTAAATATTACTTTTTATAGGTTTATCTCCCATATCTGTCTCTTTGATAGATCTAGTATGTATTTTCAAGAATAGTAATAATAATTATAGAGACAGGTCAACAAAAGACTTCTGGATGCCAATGATAATAACTAGGTAGCAATGTGCAGTGAATGACTTCAGTTGGACTTGTGTGGGTCAGAGTAATGTAAAGTGACATGAGCTGCTTTAAAACCACTTAATATTGATTTTGGCAACTACCTTATAGGACTGAGCTTGGAACATAGCAGATTTGCAAAGCACACATTTAAGTTCTTCTGGCACCTATTAACTTGGGCCGGCTAAGAAATGTTGCACCATGTTATGTCAACTGATTTTCCTTGCTTGTGTAATATCAAAGTATGTGCAACTGCGTTTTTACCACATTTATTCACAACTTTTTGGGATGAACATCAAGGTGTAACATGCTAACATGGTAAATATATGGTAACATAGTTATGTATTCTCTTCAAAGTTAAACTTAACATCAAATATTGATCACAAAATTATTCAGTTGTTAAGATAAGTTACTGCACCTTTCAATAACATGTGAATTCTGAAGTTCAAAAACAGACTAACCATTTCTTTTTAGTTTTTGGCTAAAAAAAAATTATTGTGATTGCAACAAAAACAACCAACATTAGTCTTGAAATAAAGAGACAGAAAAAAAGGATAGAAATCTACCAATCACAACTTAACCCCACCTACATGAACTTTTGAGCCCTTTCAAGTAACCTTCTGTTTCTTAAGAGGTCCACTAATATGCCTGATATAGTAAATGTAGCAGCTAAACATGAAACTGTTGAACTGTTCATGTTATTGAAAAGTACTGACAGTTAAATGTCCAGTACATATTCATCTGTAGTAAAATAGTTTTCTTAATAGGTGAACCTAAATTAAAGCTTCTTTTTGATTCAATCTTGTAATTCAGTGTTGTTTATCACTGTGTGCTTTCCTTTGCTTAGGAGTTTATAAATTTTGCTGATGGAATTGACAGCCAACAGTATAGCCAGACGTGCAAGGTGAGCTGATAGTTTATTACAAGCTGTCCAAACACTGCTCATAAATATTATGGGTGGCGAGTGGTCCTTCAAATTAACCGCTATGATGGGTCTTGCAGTCTTGGTTTTTTGGTAGTTATGTATGTCTCTCAGTCTTGATTTTTTTCACAAACTGTCTTGCAGTCTTGATTTTTTGCAAGGATAAGAAAGTCTCAAAGTATGGATTTGCTTTTTTTACAAATGACATCTGAATGTCTTAGAATCTGAATGTCTGGAGCTTGCATTTATATAGCTCACAAACTTATTTTGATATCAAAAGTATTGTTTTCCTGTTCTGGAATCATGATTTTAAAAAATATAAAAAGACTAATTTCTGTACTCGGAGCACAATATTTAAAAATCTCAAAAGTGGGATATTTCGTTCGGATCTACTGAACTTTGTCAGCCACAATACAAATTTAAATGTGTTGTGTATTGAATGTATTTGTATTGTTGCTGATGAAGTTCAGTGGATCTGAACAAAATATCTCACTTTTAAGATTTTTAATTGTGCTCAGAGTACAGAAATTATTCCATTTAATTTTTAAGACCAACCGACAGCTGTTTATTAGTTAGTTTCCCAGCCACATATATTGTGGAATATGCATATCCTTTGAATGCTACTCTAAATGAACCTTTTTACAGACACCACATTTTTCTGAATTTTTCATTAAAAAATAAAGGAAAAAAAAAGCCTCACCACTCAATTTGTCATGCCAAACTTAACAAAAAAAGTTCATTAAAAATCTGTTCCAAATTCATAAAAATATGGAACCACAAACTTGCCAATTTTTACAAACAAATGTTTGCCAGGGGGGAATTGTTGCCCCCCTGGTGGTATACATTTCTTTGTAAAAACTGGCAATTTTGCAGTGTCTGATCTAGGATTTCACTTTAGGGGGACATTCTGTCCCAGTGAACAATTTTCTAGGGGACATTCCAGCTTTTTGGGGGACACACTGTTTTTTGCTTGTGAGAAATTAGAAAAAAAGTCAAGTCAGCATAATAACTTTCTGCGTGGCAAGTCAGTGTCGAAGTTCTGAAATAAGTGCAGCCAGAAGTGAAGGGATTTGCTTTGCTAGACCCAATGCAAATTGAACACAACAAACTCTTTGTGTTGTCGTATCGTAACCACTTGAATTTTTCCAACCACATAGATTGAAAGTTTCTCCTTGCTACTTTGGCTTTCTGTTCGACAAAAGGTTCATGTTCATAAGTATCACTCAATTTATCTTCATCAACGTTGTCAGTTCTGCTGGTTTCCGTTTGCGGACTGTGTTCTTCTCTTTTGTTTTCTCGACCAAAGAATGATAATACTCTTTTCTGCTTTGACGTGACAATAATATAGCAGAACAACAAAGAAAACAACCAAAATAACACATCGCGTTTCATCAATCAAGCGTTAAAAGTAAGAGGTTCGCAAAGAGCATGTACATTTTTATAAATTGACCCCTCTATAAGAATTATTCTACTTGTTCCCAGGAATCTCATCTCAGTCTCTGCCAGCCATTTTTATTTGGCCATGTCGTAAACATTCGTAAAATGCATGCTGTTTTATATTGTCAATTCTATGAAACTTTAAATCACACAATGGTTTTGAAAAACTTAGGAAACAAAGGAAAATTACAAGTCAGTAGCTGCAGATGTTTGCTGCGCCAAAATGACCCAGAAGATGAATATTTGGGGGACATCTTCTATCGAACTGCATCAATCCTGCAATGGCGCACTCTAGATCAGACACTGTTTTGGGGCGCCATTATGATAGTTTCATGAGTTTGCAACAGATTCTTGTTTAACTTGGCATATTTACGAAATACAGCGTGGTTATTTGAAAAATATGAAAAACTGGAACCGTTGGTGTTGCATATGACACTGGTAAAAAGGTCCATAATTTGGTGGGTAAACTACTCTGACATAGATGTTATTACAGGTCATGGTCAGTAATTTTGTGGCTTAAATTGTTTTCTGTCTTGTACACAGAGCAAATCTGCCCATGTTATTGGATTTAACTGGACCAATTTAAATGAAATTGTTTTCATCACAAACCAAGGGCTGGAATTTTATCAGGTATGAAATAAGGGCTCAAACACAGACTTAAAGGCAATCCTTTAAATGTGAATGATTGCCCTCACAACTCAGAGTGGACATATAATGTGGTATTTCATGTTTTTTGCTGAAAATTGTTGTTCTTGTTTTGTTTAAATTCTGTTTTAAGGTTCTGCCAGAAAAACACAGTCTGAAAATGATCAAGAACTACAGTGTTCAAGTGAACTGGTTTGTTTTTTTGGTAAGATTTTCATGTCACTGTTTTGTAATCAAAATACCACATGTGATTTTACATTGTTGGTCAATAACTGCAATAAATAATGAGTATTAAGTAACTCCTTGATGGCAACTAAATAAGTGTGTTTTTGTTCCAGGAATATGAATTTTTTTATATATATACGCTCCTCACCAAAGGGTTTTTTATTTAAATCCTTCACCCATTCCAGTTCAGCTTAAGTTCCCTTGAAAAGTTTTGGCTTTTGAAATCCCCAACCTGTTAGAATTTCTGATGATTTTCCATGGGGTGGGTATGGATACTTTCTGTTAAATGTTGCACAATTAAAATAATATTGATTTATTGTTGTTTCAAAATTGTTAGTTAAATTATGTTGTGGTCTGAAGTGATAAATTGATAATTCCATTGTTACAGATGATTTACAATGTAAAAAGAAAATGAAAAGGTGTTTTGTTTGAAACATTTGCCAACTACATATTAATGCTGCGACATGTACTATATAACATCTCAATAATCTGTAGGCATTTGGAATTACATTTATTTATATTTTTGTAATTTTCTTTCTCCAAAGCCTGAAAGTGCTGTGCTTCTGTTGTCATCATCAGGATTAGGAAATGTTATTCATCCATACCACTTTAGAGTAAGCGGCACTTTTTATTTCGATATAAATCACATGAGAAGATTAGTAAATTAAAATGACGGCTTGTTGCCAACATTCCAGAAATTTCTTAAAGCCTTCAAATGTAAGGTTGTTGTGTACTGTAGTGTCAAATGTTCTATTTGTGTTGATATTCAGCTGTTGTAAGTTCTGTTTGGCATTATGATTGCAGGCAGGTTCTGTGATGCGGCTACCAAAGTTTGAGGTTGATCTTCCTGCAGCTTCAAAAGCTCAGAAAACTGGTCTGTTAGAGAGGGATGTCACCCTTGCAAACATGTGAGTCTGATAGGATGGGTAGTGAATGTTAAATTCGAGATGCCGCAAGATGGCGAGACTAAAAAATATTGTCTGCCCTCCTGAGAGTTTGTTAAACAGTTAACAAAATAAATTGATGCTATGAAACTTTAAATGGTGATACCCATGGAATTCCACCAAAAATTCTTTGAGACAGCATCATGGTTAACAGAACTACATGAACATATTTCTCATGAGCTTTAATTTATAGGGTGTCATATGCAGGCTTAAGTCAATGTTAAATGTTGGGACCATGTTGTGTGTACAGCAAACAGAGGGGTACTACAAGGGCTGCTAAATGGTAGTCTTTTTTCACATTCACATTAGATTTCAAACAGTAACTAAGCACGTGCAACATTATCTTTCATTTTGTTTTTCTGTTTGAACTCTCTGCAGTGATGGTCAACTTTATGTGGTAATCCTCAGAAATCAACAGAGAAGTTCTACCACTGGACCAATTGGTGCAGAGATAGTTCTGTATCAGCTGCAGCGGTTAGTCTCTTATTATATGCTTTGTATTTCTCGAATCATGCTATCTTTGTAAAACTCGAGCTTTAAGAGATCAAGTGGAACATCCAGCTTACACTTAGCCTGTCCATTGAAGCAACTTGAAATAAACTAGCAGTTTGGTTAAAAAAAGGTAATTCAAGGGTCCAGGGGAGCCAGGTGACTGGTTTATTGCTGCTGGTACACTGTACCTTCACAATGTAGATCAGATTTCTTTAGTATCAAATACGAAAAATTACTCCTCCCACTAGAGTAAAACTTGCAGTGATTGTAGATATGCCATCAGAAGGTAAGTGTCATGGTGTATTCTCCAAGCTCAGGTACACTTCTCCCACATGTGCCACATAGCATCAGCTAACTCTTGCTAAATGAGAGGAATGATTTTCTTAACCATAACCTTCGATTGGTTCAATTTCATCATTTCAGTGTATTGATGAGGCTACAATGTAAAACAATGAATGTGTACAACTTACAGTTTTCTCAGGTCACATCAGATTGAATATTGAATTTCAGGGATATTCCAGCCAAGAAACTAGCAGTCCTTCAGTTGAACATGATTGGAAGATTTGCAGTGAATGTTGTGGTAAGTAAAAGGCCAAATGACAAATGCTGTGGAAGTTTATTTCAGTGCTTTGCATCTCACGGTTTCGCTGCTCTGCTATTTATTTGTACAATCACATGGAGGTAGGAATCTTTCTTATAATAAATACTTTTTTTGTTCACAGGACAACCTTGTGATTGTCCACCACCAAGCTTCCAAGGTAATTTCTTCCTGTTTCTTAACATTTCTGTTGTTTACCCATCATAATGGCCAATTTCAGCTGTATTCACAGTATTATTACTCTGACTCATTCTTCCATGCATACATCTGTTTGGTGTTTGCAGACATCTATGCTGTTTGATGTCAGGCTTGGAGGAGATTTTGATGGACAGATCACATACTTTCAACCAGTGTTAGCACCTTTGCCACTTGAACAAGCTGTTTTTGAGTTGGGTTAGCTATACATTTGCAGATCTACTGTAGTTTTACTGTCTGACTGTTTACATGTATTAAGTTGCCAAACAGGCATAATCACGTGAATTATTTTGGATAGGGAAGGGAAGGGGTAGGTGGAAAGTGACTTCCTGTAGTTTTTCTAAATGAAATTATAGCCATGATCTCACAACTTGGAGAGCAAATTGAATCATCTTCAAGTTGGCTTAGTCTTACATCAGTGCTTTTAACTTTAGAAGGAGCAATTCCAGCTCAACAGCTGGCTTTTAGCCATTGTGAGTTTTCTCAAATCATGGACAATTTTGACTCATTACGTTCTCACACAACACTTATTTCCTGCCAGGGGTATAAATGGTTATAGGCAAGCTTTATGGGTAAATAATACATGTATGAAAAATGCTATGCGCTAACCTGTGATAGACTAGCATCTGATGCAAAGGGGGGAGGGGCAGAGGGTGGGATGGGTAGCAATACTTCTAATCACATCATGGTTAAGCTTGAGCGGTGCACGCCACTTTTACCCAAATGCAGAAAAATGTATTCAACTTAATTTTCTTAATTTGATGTCTTATTTTCTCTGGTTTAGGGGTAGGTGCATGACTTAGGAGTAGTGGCTGTTACTCTTGTGTGTCCTGTCCTGCCACCTTGGGAAATCAACAATGTTGTCATGTGGTAACCTGTGATAAACCTGTAGGGAGCTGCATCATCCTATGGAGCTTATAAGTTTTTCCCAGGTTGACCCTCTTGTCTTGCTTGTTCTGTGAAAGAATTCTTTGTTCACATTCTTTGTTTGTTTGTTTCAGATGAGAAAGATTCTACTGGTGCTGTGAGAAGGAAAAGGATAGTCTGTGACATGTGTATCCTATGATAGATGCTTAAATGTGGCAATGAAAATACTTTTGGTTCACAACAGCTTATCATATTTGCCAGCATTTTATTTTATTATGGAATGTGATCTTCCCAGGGGTTTATCAATCACAGAGCATTCAAAAATACCCTGTGATTTCACTTAAAAGCTAGAGCTAGAGCTGTGATATGTATGACTTACACTGTAGTCATAATCTTTATTATTTGAGCCTCTGACTTAGTTTTGGGTCATTTAACTCAGACAATCAACTACTTGAAAATGAAATATACTTTAACCACTATTAAATTCTCTTGGTATTTTATCAAGCATGCAGCAAAAACTCACAGTTAATAAATCCATCAAAAATAGTGCCAACTACTCGTTCAAGTTTAGAGTTGTTTTAAAAGATGATTGAAGACATAAACATTGCAAATTCATGTTAGTATCTTTTTCTTGATCACAACCTTGCTATGTTTCTTAACATGTTATTTCCAGACTCTCAAAACTGGATAGTGTTTCAGCCAAACATCATTATAGATGCTAAACTTGGTAAGTATAAAATATTATTTCTGCACAATTGGCAAATGTGGCAAGCGCAGAAATGTTACTGTGTGCGGTGGCAAGGTTAGCAGCCTCCTCCACCACCTCCCCCTCCAAATCCACTATTCAACAATAAGATTAAAATGTCAAACAGTACCATTGAATAGACAGTTTATTAGTCAGATTCAAGATCTTGTAAGAGTTTCAGGTTTTATCCTGGCCACAGTCCTTGAGCTGTGTTCTCAAATAAGATATAGATTACCTCTTCCCACTCAGGAGTAGAAATCAAATGCTCAGGACTGGCTAGACTAAATCTTCAATTCAATAAATGACAAGCAGTCATTTGGAGGTTAAGATGGTACTTGAATTTGTTATGTTAATCATTATTACATTTTACATGTACGTGTACCTTTATTTAGTATTCTTTCTGTGACATGATACATCTTTGTAATATGATGTAGTATACTCTATTCCTCTAGCCTGCAGAACCGGCAGATTAGCAGGGCAGACCACAAAGTGTGATACACGGGTGCAGAGCGCGAGCATGGGTGTGGAGCGTGAAGTGAGAAAATCACAATTCATGCTTATACTCACACTCTAGGCTTGTGTAATGCCATTGGCACTCTGCCCTCCTAATCCACCTGTTCTGCAGGCTAGTCAGACTTCTTAAGCTTAGTCGAGTGTTCATACTGAAATAAGTGCCAGGAATTGTCAGGGGCTACTTTTTGTTGTATTAAAATGGGATATGGGTTTTCTTCAGGCTGTTTATGGCAGGTTATGATAAAGTTGGAGCCTTTGGTGGTGATGATAAGTGACAAGGTAAGTATTCAACATTTAGGTTTGATGATAATCCTTTGTATCCTATATGAAGTATGCTGACCAGGAGTAACTTTATGTTAGGGATTGTTGATTGACTTCCTACTGCTAAGAAAGGAAAGCAAAATGGTGATTTTGACAGTTTTCAAACAAGGTAAGTTCATATGAATATAACAAACATAGAATTGCACTTTGTAGAAGTCTGTATGTTAGTAACTTATTTTAATGCCCTCATCATAGGACTTCTGGCTTGAGAACTAACTGAAACGTTGTGTCAGAAACCAGAGGTGTCAGCACTGATATGAAAACAGGACTCGGGCTGCTGATTGTGATGACTTAGCAGTGTTGTTTGTCATCTGTGGGCTGATGTCTCCTTTTTCTGATGCCCCTTGTGTCACATTTTATTTTTGTTTAATTTACTATTTTGACAGCTTTAACACCAGGGAGACAGAGCAGCCTGCCAGTCATAGCTCGCATGTTTGACAAGGTGAACTTGGCTTATAGAAATTACTCACTGGAAGTGGAGCAAGGTGCACAACAGGTGAGATCAGTTCATAAGGTACAATGTAAATAAACTGGGATTTTTGATTAGCTGTTGGTAGCGTTATTATTATGAGGGGGAGAATAAATTGAGAGAGGACAGAGGTCTGGGTAGATGGAGCATTGAGGGGGAAGAATTTGTTTGGATGAACGGAGGGGCAGAGACAGCAATAGGAATGATAATGGAGCAATGGATTAATGGAGGGAGGGGAATGTAGAAGAGAAAGAGGACTAGAGAGAGGGAGAAATGGAGAGATACATTGGGGGAAAGAGAGATAAACTGAGAAATGGAGGGAGGAATGAAAAGAGGGAATAGTAAAAGAAACAGAGCTTGAAAGAAGGTAAAGATCCATAGAGGGGGGAGGGAGTCCTGAATAGGTGGAGGAAGGGATGAATGGAGGAACAGAGGAAGATAATGGAAAGAGGATTAGAGAATTGAAGGCATGAAGAGATTAATATATTTATTGTACCAAGGAAGGGAAAGAGAAGCAATGTTGGAGAATTCAAACTTTTGTTTTTTCATTAACAAGATGTTGTTTTTGTTTAGTCAAGTGATGCTTCCAAGGGTCAATCTCCTCAAAAACAGCTAACCAGGTTAGTCACCTTTGAATAAATCTGCTTCATTGTTAGCACAGAAAGAAAGTAGAAAGTACTTAAGTTAAGAAATAGAAAACATGTACTGTGTTTCTATTGAGTTTTAGAAACACAAGTGGAAGTTTGGGAGAACAAGAAATGCTGTGGGAACACGAGCCACAGGCGAGTGTTTCCACAGCTTTTTTGAGTTCTCCCAAACTTTCACGACTGTCTCTATAACTCGATAGAAACACGGAGAACATGTTTTCTATTTCTTTTAGAAAACAATGTGACGAAGAAAAGGAAAACAAATTGTTTATTTTGATCATCAAAATGTAAATTCTCTTTGCACACGCCATCATTACATCAGCAGCTTGTGCTAGTTCTGTGTTTCCATCGAGTTATAGAAACACAATTTTTAACCAATCAGCACGTGTATTTTCTTAGGTTTTTTTTTCTAATACTAGTTAAGGCGCAGGGTCATAAGTAGCTCTAACTCATTGTTCTTTATATTAAATTTGTAAATTGCCTTTGATGTGGTTTAATAATTAAGATGTAAATCTGGGACTTTTCGGTTTGTGCGTTAATTGTATCAATTTAGTGAATTATACATTTGCAGGTGTCAGACTGTTGTCACTCAAGAAGACATGTATTCTCATGTACTATCTGTGTTTGTTGAGAGCAAGGTAAACAGTTTGCTGTTGATAAGTTAATGTCAAAATGTAAAATTGGTATTTTAAAACTGTTTTCAGTAGAACTCAGTATACAGTCATGATATTGCTCTGGACTTATGCTTAAAACTTACAGTGTTTATAGTGCAGTTTTAACAGCACTCATTTTATCAAGCTGAAAAATTCATACATTGATTATGTTTTACTTAACACGAATTCAATGTCTTTTTCCCTCCTTTTGTAGGATATCAAGTATAAATTTATGGTTGCTGTGTTGGTGGAGTACATTCGCTCTCTGAATCAATTTGAGACTGAAGTGGAGGTAAGAAGTAATAATTGTTATTGTTACATGTCGCTCTTCTGAATAGTGAGCTATGTATGTAATAATGTTGGATTTCTTACATCACAGTTTTGATTCAACAATGGTTACTGATTATTGTACTTTAGTTCAACTTTGGTGCAGTTAAAGCAAGAGCTTTGCAATTTTGTTTTTGCTATACTCCAGTGTCAGACTCTTGATCCTGGGTCTGGATAATGAACCAACAGTGAAGATTCTAGCCTGTTCTGGCAGGCTCTCGGTCACAAGGAACAACAGAAAAAAGTAGGCGACCAAAAGAATAGCAACTAAGCAGGGTCTGAAAGAGAGGAAGGGCAGAGTCCACTCATCTATCTTTCCCCACATGCCATTTCTGATTGTCCCCAATGACTGAGATCCTGGAACAGACTGTTGCGCATGCATTCAGGCTCACTGTTTGGATGAACAGTGTTTTACTCCTGGCATGAAATAAACCAGTTACTGACTCCTGTTGAAGTTTCCTCTTACATTTAAAACAAACACTGTAAAGTTATCATTATTTCTTGCTGCCATATGTCATGTATCAGATCATTGTCATGCAAACTCGTGATCTTTTTCTTTCTCCTTGACAGCACTATCTTTATGAGTTGATTATCAATCTTCTTGTACACAACAAGTGTTTCTACCAGTTGCATCAGGTTTGATGAGCCTTCGTAAATTTAATTTTAGTCTTTTTATATAATTATTTGAGGGATTAATAGTTAGATTTGTTGTTTTTCAAATTTATTTTTTCTGCGATGCCCATGGAATAACATTTGAAGTTCTTATCTTGTTTTAGTTCGTTCAGTATCATGTTATAAGTGACTCCAAACCATTGGTAAGAGAATCAACACTGTTTGAATATGACCTTATATTATGTCATTGACCCATTGTTCACAAATTGTTATTCTCTCACCAAGCATTTCTGATGTGACTTGTTCATATTTTAAAACAAACGACCTTCATTTTGATGTCCTTATTTTTCAGGCATGCCTTATGTTGTCACTTGAAAGTACTTACCCTCCAACTTATCAGCTAGCCTTGGATATGCTGAAGGTGCAGTTGATGTTAATATTGCATAGACGTATGTGAAGTATGTTAGTATTTTTGACTCAACCAGAGCAAATATATTATTACTGGGTTGAAAACTAAGGCATCAGACACCTTTCCTTCCCTTTTGGGACACTTGTAATTGTTTTATTTCTTTATTTTAGAGACTTAACACTGCCAATGAGGAAATAATAGAGGTTCTCCTTTCTAAACAACAGGTAGGTCACCACCATGTGCAAATAGATAAACACTTAGAAAAGTTTGTTTAGTGTAATGCACTTCTAAAATATTGAATGCACTCCATTTTTCATTTAAATATTCCATCTCATTCATGTTTTTCCTTTCTGCAGGTGTTACCTGCATTACGTTACATCCGTGCGATAGGTGCAGAAGACTCTGCATCACCTCGAAAGTTTTTAGAAGCTGCCACAAACCCTGAAGATTCCATGCTTTTCTACACTGGTATGCCAAGAGATTACAACCAATCATAAATTGATACACTGAGTTCTTCTTGTTGCCTTTTCACCTGCAACCAAAAGTCTGTGATGAATGTTTGTGCATTCAGTTGGTCTGCCAGCTGGCTGGCCGGCTGGTCAGTCAGTCAGTCAACAACAACAGTTTATTTCTACTACTGTAAACAACTAAAAGAATTTACAAGATTATAATTATAAATATATAAATAAACAGTAGAGTACATACAGTAGTGGGACACCCAAAATAACTAAAAAGCTAAACTAGTTGGGTGACCGTAATTNTATCAGTAAAGATTAATAGAGACTAGTGAAATGCGAAGTTAGTTCTTTTTTAAATTGATTAGAAGTACAACACTTGAATCTTTCATCGAGTTCATTCCATAATTTAGGTCCATTAAATCATAAGTAAGTCATTCATTCATTCAGTCAGTCTGTCTGTCCACCCACCTGTCAGTCAGTGTCAGTCAGTCATTTAGTCAGTCAGTCTCATAATTATGCATCTCATGTGATTCCTTTTTCCTTACTTTGTATGCGTCTTTCTTTTACGTACAAATACATGTATTTTCATTGATGCCTTTTTCTTTGTTGCAGTGTACAAGTTTTTTGAACAACGTAATGTGCGGCTACGTGGCAACCCAGACTTTGCTCCAGGTGCAAAATTTGTTTTCATTATTATTACTTAGTCAATATTTTGTCTTTTCATTGGTTGTGAGTATGGTAAAGTTAATGCCAGTACTTTAAAGGTATATCAAGAGGTTATAACTTAAAAGTTATTCCTCCCTCATCCTATTGTATTTTGATCCACAAGAATGTTATCAAGTTATCTCTGCCATTAGTGGAAATCCTGTTGTAGAATGAAGGGTTTAGTTTTTCAATATTATTATATTATCTGTGGTGAAGTATCTCTTATCTTGTCCATGTGTTTTCAAAGGCGAGCACTGTAACGTATATGTGAAGAAGTTCGAGTGTCTGTTTGGATCAAATCGCAGTGGACAAGTTCCAGTTAATGGAGGAATCAACTGAACAGTGGACAAACTCTGGAGACACCTATTACATGTTGTACAGTTATCATTGGTAAATGAATTAATGATATTGACAGATTGTCACAGATATCTGGTTTGGCAAATTAATTGATTGTAGGTAGCAATTAAGATGGTAGGAAATAAGCTCTATTTGTTATTTTTTCCTGGACCAAAGGTAGATAGCTGAACTACAGGACTCCAGTAGTTCAGACAACTGTTAAGTTTCATGTCCTGTTTTATGTCAAGAAAGCTTACTAGATTACAGGTTAATGTGGCAAATTCTGCTACCACTTCCTCAATTTAACCTGGAGTGTTCAGGAACCTGGCAGTTATTCTACACATTTTAGTTTTGGGTTGTGAGGATGAACAGAGTGTGAAAATTCCATAGGAGTAAAAATAAAGTTAGATAAAATTAATTAGCTTGACAAGGGATGATAAGGAAGGTATACCATATGACACAATAAACATAGGAGACAACAGAAATTCTCACTTCAAAATGTTTATTAAACTCCAACTATGTTGTAATGGCCGAGTTGCTTACAAAGCAAACATGTACACTAGTTTCTGCATTGTCAGTTTGTGTGGAAGAGAAGAGCCTGTTCTTAGTTGAATGTACTCAAAAGTTTGAAAACTTTAATGAATTTATTAGTAGATAATTTTTCTCCAAATAATAAAATTATAGGAAAAATAGATTTTCTAGTTAGCTTCATACATTATATGGAGAAATTGATTTTGTCACTTAGAAGGCATTAACTGTATCACAAATTTTTGTTGGATGAATTTACTATAAGGTTGCCGCTGTATACAGTATATAATGTGCAATTTACACTCTCCCAAAAAGAAACTGAGCACTCTTGAAATAATAGTATTGTATTTTTTTTTTCATCCAGTGACTGACTAAAGGTTTTCAATTGCCATGTCTTATTCAAGACTTCTATGTTGACTTTAATACAAGTTATATAGTGTCCCTCTTGGCAATAAATATGATAATACCATAATACCATACTTACATCATTTACATGTATGTACAAAGTAATGACTGTTATTTCATTACTGACATTTTAATACTGAATGAAAGTTTAGGTCAAACCATAATAATTTCACAGCAATATATACATGAAATTTAAAACCTCTGACTTTAATATGTTACATCAACTGTATATTATATGTCTTGAAATTGAAATAAAGCTGTTGAAGATTTCATCTTCTTAATTTCTTGCAAGGGAAATATAATTTAATAATTTTCTTTGAGAAAACATATTAATGTATCATTCATTGTACAAAATTTATTTTAATTCTAATCTAAACTTTCAAAATCTCTAAAAGTAATTATATTTTGCTATGTTTGTAATGGGAGAGGTGGTCCACTGTGGATGTCACTGTCACTTTCCCAATTTCCTTCAGATATGATGGGACGTGGAGGTGCAAAGATGTTGGGAAATCTGAAAAACAAATGACAGAAGATATACTTCAGCACACTGAATTATCAAAATCGCGTAGAATAGAGTGGTGAAATCATGAACATCGGGTAATAATTCAAGTTTTTCACTGGTCACGCAAAACCTTCAGGTCATGGATCACAAAGAATAATTTCTTAAATTTACATTTCACAGAAAATAAAATCAGTTAATCACGCATCATGAGAATACCCCTGTATGACCCTCATCTAAAAGGGGCCAGGGATGGCTGCACAGAAATGTTGCCTGGTCAATTAGCAAACTTCCACTACATTACATGTACTCTATATAAATTCTTACGGAAGGTTTGATGTTCATACCTTGATTGTGACATGTCATCTGCTGGTTTCCTGTTTAACAGAGTAGAGTTGGGAGCCCTTGCTTGCATTATTGCAGCCAATGGTTTTGTGCCCCTAGGAAGTGCAACTGAGTGGGGTCCTCCAGGTACACCTCCGTCATAAATTAAAGGATTCATTCCAGGATTAATCATGTAACCCCCATCAGTGATTGGTGGTCCGTGGATTGGTGGAAGTGAGGGTATACTGGAGAGGGCGTTAGATGAGCTTGATATGAAGTCTGAAGATGTGCCTCCTTCAAGGAAGTGCAGTTGTTTTCTTTGCCGTCTTCTGGCATCTCTGCTAGCTTTCCAGTTCATTAGAAATCGCTTGGCAGTCTCATTAATTTCCTTGGCATCAAGCATCACTATAACAAATATAGAATACAATGATTATTACAACTTTTATCATCTAATTCACTAATAATGTATTCTTACAGAAATTCATCTATCTTTTGTTATTTTTGATCATCTGACTTCTGCTAGATCCCAGAGTCAAAGGATATTACAAAAATGGTCTCGACTCTAGTGCAGATAAGGTGGCAAATTATGCAATTTCGGTTTTAGATATCTTAGCAAGTGTAAAGGTCAGCAACATTTACTGTAAGAACAACACATATATAAATGTAGATTTCATAACAGGAAATTTCATTGTAAGTACTTTACATACCTAATGATCTTGACATGACTATAACTCTGTCTCGGTACTTTTTCTTGAGACACAAAGGATTTCCAGACAGCTCTAACCTCCACAATGACGGCCATGATGCCAGGACTCTTGAAAGTTCCTACAGGAAAAGATTTTATTAGTGTTAATGTAACTTACAGGAACTTGTACTGTTTGGAAAATCATATAAAGGGTTTTATTAGTGTTCACAAGTCTGAGAACAATGTACAGTCACATAGAGCAACATACACTGTACCTTCATATCTGAAAGGCAGTTGTTTTCTACAAAGAACTGTGTTATGTTCTTGAGGCATTTCAGCTCTTCAATAGAGTCTATGTTGTTTTCAGAAATGTTCAATACACACAAACATTTCTGCAAATAAAACAAAAATATGATAAGTAACTGACATACTAAGAATCATCCAAGAAGTCATTTGACTCATTTATTATCACCATGATAAATTTACAATTTCTCCTAACAAGTACTATAAGTGGAGCCCAGTAGGGAGAATTTGTATTCAAACCTAAGGATGCATACTTACAGAAAGGGCTTGAAGTGACCTTGGCTCAAAGAGTAGTTTTTCACCAGGGGGTAGACTCTGTTTCTCAATGTGAAGCTCCCTCAAACTTTCTAAGTTTTCTAATCCTTCCACAACTGTGATGGAATTTGAACCAAGATATCTGAAAATTGTAACAGAGTGTTTCATTAATTAATGTATAACACACTCTGATTAGAAAGCAGTGTGTCTACCTTGCTTGAGGCTACATAAACACAGCACACATATCTCAGTAAAGTAAAGTTTTGCTTACAACTTTGTTAATCTCCTAAGGTTGTCTAGTCCTTCTATCTTTGTTATTTCATTTTTCTGGAGGTACAAGTGTGTCAGGTTGGTTGCAAATCCAAGATTCTTGATCCTTGCAATATTATTGTCGTAGAGGTAGAGAACTGATAGGTTGCGACAGTGATAGAGATTGTCCTGCAACGAGATCAATGGTACACTATCTTAGCACACACCCTTAGTTTAGCTTAGCTTACATAAGCCTTATTCACATTTCCAGAATGCTCAGTATAAAAAGAAATCCCTAAGAATTGCAAACATTTTGCCTATGAAGTCTTACATTATCTTTTCCTCTGTACGTGAAACCATACATTAACACTCAAATTCAGGAAAAGGGTTTGTTTTAAGGATCTCTTTACAATATTGAAAGCTTTTGTCTTCAAAAACGGCTTACAACTTTTCCAACAAGATTAAGTCCAAGTAAAATATAAAGTTCAGGTGCATGTTGCTGTGTTGTAAGCTCATTGAGCAATTTATAAGCTAGTTCAGCCATTGAGAAGCATAGTAATAACTTCAAACATGAATAACTAGAAGCATAATGACCAAAATGAATTGAAATCTATATGGTATCCAACAACGAGATTACCGATCGAGCCAGGCGAATCGAACAGTCTATGAAACTTTTCAGATCTACTTACAATTTCATCGATGTTCTTCTCGGAAAAATAAAGATGAGTCAACCTTCGCACGTACTGTTGCACAGTTTCGTCTCTTCTTTTCTTTGTATGGCTAGGAGATTTCGCCAACATTTCCAATGTAATCTTTCCCATTTTGAAATAATCACACGAACTGTCTAGCGACAAATTGTTTGAGCATAATATGAATACAGATATCACGTGACCAGAAAACATTATCCGTCTCCCTGGAAACAACTATGGGACCCAGTTCTCCCGTATGTACGCAGTCGAGAGGTACTGTGTCGGAGAGCGACGAGAAACAAGATGGCGGCGGAAGTGGTAGGTTAGTGTTTTTTTCATGAGGACAACCAAGTTCCTAAACAACTTCAGGTACATTCATATTGTGTGCTCTGTGCATTATTAATGTACAGTTAGCTTATTTGGGAACGGCTTACATTGCTGCTTAATTATTAGTGGTCAAGTTGAAAAACAAAAGAATATTTCGTGTTCGGAAGGTTAATTGGCAGTGTAAAAGATCACAATTTTGGAGAGTGCTGTTCATCTTTTATGCCAAAAGGAACTGAAAAGCGTGTTTTAACTATTGGCTTTTTGACATTTTGTCTTTTTACGTTTACTTTTGAGGCATTTTTCGAATTTTTTAGCTTTAGCTTCCATGCTTTTGCAAATATCAAAATCGATTTGTGACTGACGCATTTCCGACCCCCTCTTTATTAGTGACGAATTGGAAATTGCAAGGCCACTTAGAACTGCGAGTTATTGAATACGAGAACCAATGTTGATCTAAAAACTCGGAATAAAATCGTAGTAGTTTACCTTCTTGAATATCTTGGGACGCCGTCTCGAGAAAGGGCGCGTTTTAAAACTCAACAAAATTTATCGGTTGCATATGGCTTAGGTAAATGTTTCTCGTATACTCGCATGATGGACAAATTTATTTCAGCAGTTTCAAGGCGATAATGTTTGCCAGGATATAACGAAATCAGATGAGATGTAGGACGTTGGTTGGATAAAGAAATTACCGTTCATAATTCCCATCCAGTTTGGAGAGCAGCGAAATATGTCTGGAGACCTACAAGCGACGATAGAGTTTGCAGTGGAATTTTCGACGTTCCACAATGTCGATCTCTTTCAGCGCGGGTATGTATCATTTTAAAATGTTTAATTGTCATTTTCAGCTACTTTTACCGCTACTTTTGTTTATCTTAATTTTCTTGGTTCAGCTGAACGCTCAGTGGTATGTTGTCTTCCGAAAAATCTAACATGTAAGCTTAAATTTGTGCTCCAATTTACAGCAATATATTTCTTGTTCACTTATTTTTCACATATTTTTGAAGCAATCTAGTGTTGCTCTATAAACCAACTGATCACAATATTATTTGTTGTTGAATTCACATTCATGAAGTATTTGGTATTTTAGAATATTTAGTACTGCTGAGTTTTTGTAAATATTTATTGTGCATTGTTTGTACAGTCCTTCTTACAGAGACTTTGCATATTTTGTGTTACAGCTATATAAGCTTATCAATCATATGTAACTTAAATGTATAATAATAAAAATATGTGCTTTTAAGACTTTGAAAAGAGGCTGTTTCTTTGGTTATTTTCATGAGTAAAAGTGGGTACTTTGAAGACAGCTTGTTTTTGCATAATAATGTAAAATAGTCATACAGAAAAGTCTTGAGGCATATGTTTCTTTGCTAGATATTTTCAAGCCATCAATCAGAAACCTGTGGTCCTGCATGTTTACATTTGGTTAGGAATAGAGTTGTTAGGTGTAATTCTAGGAATTTCTTGGTCTGCTGAAATAAATAATTTTTTCATTAGGTCAAGTAGTACTAACACTTTAATTGGACTCAACTGTTGTAATTTTCAGGTATTATCAGATCCACTGTATGCTCAAGCCTCCTGTAAAAGCTGCAGCAAGCACAGAGGTAGAGAAACGACTTGACATTGGCTCAGGTAAGATTTTTTGGTCAAAGATGACATTTTCTAGCAGTTCATGATGTGGATGATCCTAGACTTAAAGCATGTGCAAATGCAAGTACAATCACAAAAGCAAGGATATAATTATGTAAATAAAAAATGTTTTGATTATTTTCTTGCTCTTCCATGTCAACATTTCGAACCTAAATGCAAGCATTAGCAAGCAAGGTGTTAGCTGTGTGCCATCTTGGAAGATGTATTAACTATTGTTGTTAATGATTAAACAATTACAACTTATGATTTTTAATTTGCTATTTTTGTTTCGTGTTTATATTATTATTTTTTGGACACTTATTACATTTATTATTTCACTCTTACTAGACATTCAAGGACAAGAATATCAATTTGGAGCAACCATTACCCCATCTGGAGGGACAGCCATCTCTAAGACGTTTCAAATTCTTTACAGGAATGAGTCCATTATGTTGAATGATTCTTTTGTGTTCCGCCTCCACATGTTGGTTAACAGTGACAAGGTAAGTCAACTCCCGCGCTGTAGCTATATTAACCCGTAGCTAATAAAAACTGTGGTCCAAATTTGCTGAATTTGAAACTTCAGTTTAAAATATTGGACGCAAAAGTGATGTTCATTTAGATAATTTATTTAACAAATAGAGAAGCCTGAGCTGTGTAGTACACTGTGAAAAAGCACAACGGGCATTTGAGAACACAAGGGAAATGTAGAAAACACGCTCCGCAGGCAAGTGTTTTCTACATTTCTCGAGTGTTCTCAAATGTCCAGAGTGTTTTATCACAGTGTAATACACGGGTTAGGCTTCTTTATTTGCTTTATGATATAGATTTTACACACACAAAACAATAAAACACACATTTTCTATGTTTTATACTCGGATAAAACATGGGTTTTTGACCAATCAGAGTGCACGCAGGGTCCTGTCTATACTATAATAGGTAGTAAAATTATAGTGCTCAACTGCTTTGGAGATTGTGATTGCCAATCAGTAAATGAAGCAAAATGATGAAAGCATTGTTAAACAAAATGTTTCACTCTCCTTTCACCAAACAGTAAGACTAAATTTATTTTTTTCTTTATATAATCTTTTCATCAGGTTGTCCAGGAAATTGACCAGGCTGATTATCAAATGACAGTGGAGCTGTTCTTCTCTGACTCAGAATATGGGTGAGAAATTTTTCTGATCAATGCATGCCGATCAAAATTGTGTCATGCTGTTACTGTATGCCTTCCATGGCTCTTTGCACATACAGTGGAACCCTGCATTACTGCCAACCGGTTAATACTGTCCCCTCATTACTTTGGCCACTTTATTCTGGTCTGAACAAAAGGCCACCCATTAATACGGCCAGTTATTTGTGGCCCGTTGGTGACCAGATTAACAGGATTTTATTGTACCTGAAGAGTTGTGACAGAAATTATTATTGATGTTTCCTCTGCCAATCAATATTTTAGGAATTGAGTACTTTTGCAACAGCTTACCGATAGTATTTTTGGCCAGAAGTTAGAAATCAACAGTTTTTTTCATGGTAACTTTTGGAGGTGCAGTGACCAACATAGGTTATTGAATTGGATTTTGAGTTGAGGGGTCTGGGTTTGTGGAATCCCTTATGAAAATGCTTTCAAGAGTTATCCATGGGGATCTTTAAGGAGCTGCATATTAAGGATTTATGTGTTGTCACTCATCTTGACAATCCTATAGAATCTTAATTTATAATCTGCTACACTCTTTGAGGATCTTTCAAATCTTGCAAGGATTTGTCTTATCCCTGTACCTATCCCTGTAAAGATCCTTCAAGCATCTTTTAAGATCCTAAAGATTGTACAAAGGATCCTTTGATGACTCCGGTAAATTCCTAAGCAAATCTTTGAAGATCTCAAAGGATTTTTGTATCTATCTTGGCCAGTGTCAAATCTAGTCAAAATCATTTGCGGGAACTAAAACTTTGTTAAAAAGAGGTTATGATGGTAACTTAACATTAAACTACATATAATTTGGCATATTGTTTGTCACTGTGACTTTAATTATAATGCTCTGCCATTTCTTTTCTATTTTATTGTACAGACTTGAATCTGTTGAGTCACTGACAAGTGTAAGCACACAGACATTAAAACTGCACATGTCTTGTGTGAAGGGTCTGCACCACCATGTGCCCATCTTGTTTGATTATTATCACTTTGCTGTCATCGACACCACAATTCATGCCACAGTAACAGCACTTGGCCTTCCTGATCACAGGTAAGCCATTTCTCAGAGTGAGTGTACTTTCAACCTTAGGAATTGCGCATCTAATAAAAGGAAAGGAGAATATTTTTCTTTCTATAACCATGGGGGAGCTTTAAGCAATTCCTCCTCTAGAACTAGCACTGAATTAAGCATTCCTACAAACTTAAATGGCAAATTGAACTGCTAATGAAAATAAATTGCTTGTACTCATGTGTGGTGCTTTTTTTCTGTTTATACTCTTCAGCATTGTTAGGCCTGTAAAGAACAGCTGGCTTGGTAAACAACCATCCAATCAACGGGTGTCAACACCAACGTTTTATGTTGTGTTGTTCAGTAACAAAGCCTTAGCCCCCCAGGTATGGATGAGTTTGTTCTGTGTGTAGGTATGTGTTTGTGAGACAAATGGCTTCCATATATTTTCATGTATTTGGTACTCACTAATTAGTTCCAGTAGACTCGAGCAGAAGTAAACTTTACTGATATACTAATGTAGCCAAGGGTCACATTGGTCACAATTTAAACACAACTGATTAATAAATGATCGGATAAGCTTTAAGTGATATGTAACAAACAATTATGGATATCCTTGCGATGTTAGGTAATGTTCAATAATGTTCTTTTGCAGAGTTCCAAGACTTCACTTGTTGAAAAGCAGTTACAGTTTGCGTATGACACACACAGGTACAGCCATATTGTCATTTCTGGAAATAGCTTTTTAGCCCAATTAGAAATATTGTCTTCAAAAGTTACTGAATATTGACAAATTAATAGTTACAGGTAAGTGAAAATTCAGATTTCAGTGATTCAGATTGGACATAAAAGGTTAGTTAACCATCCCTTATCCAGGGCTCTGCTCTAGAAGCACCCAGGTGCCACAGGCTACTAACTTTTGCCTTTGGGGGACTGGAAAAACTTTTTTCATATAAGCTTTTAATAGTTCTGGGCTCCTTGTAATTTTTCTTAGACCACAGCCTTGAGTTATCTACCATCATGTGCAGTATAATTTTCAATATCATACTCAGTTGCGTGCTTTTGATCAATAAGTTTCTTTTTCTTTTGTCAATTCAGGGCATTATGCAGTACTCTTTTGTCTGCCCAAGTAAATCTGCTGGCTTATTTCCAATGTTTAACTGAGCTTCTTCCTGAAAATCAGAGGATGGATCTTGGTACGATTTATCAAGTATTTCTGTAGTAACTACCAAGGAGTTATAAAGCAAAATCTGACATGTGTGGACCCTCTTTTAGGACATTTTCTTTGCTGTCCAATTCAATATCCTATTTAAATCGGTGCCTCTACACTGGTACCATAGCGGTATTCAGAAATAATGGCTGTTGTATGGGGAAAAAATTGTATCATACTGTGTTGTTGTCATACTAAGTGCTTCAACTAAGTAAATAATCGTCTTATCAGGTATGATAGACTTTGGTGAGAAGCTGGATGTGTTGTGCAGTACAGTAGAGGTACACAAGTTGTTTCTGGAATATCTTTTTTCTTTATCCAGTATCATTGTCTATTTTTGTTGGCTCAGATCACAAATTCAATGATATTAAATATTTTGTCTTACTGTTTGTAGGCTACAGTTGGTTGTGAGGAAACATTTTCTCAAGTATGCAGTGACCTAAACAACCTTAGTTCAGAGGTGAGGGGCATGCTGTCTTTCAATAATTTTCCCATGTTATGGTTAGTGCTCCATGCAGCTGTTAGTAGTTCTGTGCATGCATAGCGGGCCTCAGCCACTACTTCTAAATTATGTCAACATGGTTTTTAGAAGGTCGTTACCTAGATCGTGAGAAACTAAGGAAAAGTAGTTTTGAAGGACAATACACTCAGGACAACTTATCACTCATATAATCCAAAGGGTACAGATCACTCGTCAAAAGAAACAGGTGGACATGGATTACAATAGCAAGACTTGGATATGTGACACTGTTGCTTTTGAAATACTTTAGGAACCAGATTCCTTTCAAAGGTCCTGTTATAATACAAATATCAGTTCCCTGATAATATGGAGAAAATGTATTAAGTTACAGTTTATTTGATGTGTTGTTCCAGAAAATATCCATACTCCCCACAGAAGGGTAGTTCGTTTGAATCCCAACCCCCTTAAAATTCCAGTTTAGCTTTAAAAAATTTGGTGTGTGATATATCTGCCCCCCTCCAAATGTCTAAGCTTGCATGGACTTGTAGACTAACAAACTGGTTTTTACTGTTGCTGTGTAGCTTTCCTTAGCATGGTCACAGTTCCTAGAGTTCTTTAGTCTGAACAAAGCTATTTTACCATTTCTGAGAAAAGAACACCACAACCAAAGGGTAAGTATGAAATACTGTAACATTTCCAAAGTTACATCCCCAGAAATTAACATCACAAAATTATGACTGCTAATAAATCCCGAAAGTAGCCACCCCCACCTCCACCCCCCTGAAAGTAGCAAGTCCATCCTCATCTCTCCCTCCCCCTGGAAAATAGCAAGAGCAGCTGCCTTTAAAACTTATTCTGCACATGTTAGTTTTGCTTTATTCCTTTCTCCATTCTTTTGGACATGTTAATTGTTTGTTTGTTTTTTTTTTTTACTCTTCTCAGCTTTCTCATTTCTCGGAGGCATTTTTCATTCAGGAGTACCCATGGAATGAACTTCAAAGCACACCGGATCAGTTGTAAGCAGATAGGAAGTGATACTATTTTTTGATGTATTGAAAATTCTGAGAACTTTCTTAGGAATTTCGTACAGCGTTTGTTGGGAAGAGCTGCAGATTTCCTTCATACAAAGCTGATCCACACCATATCAGAAAACTTGTCAGGGTTATGGTTCTTCTTAAGCCCTGGCCAAAAGGACGCGCAAATAGACGCATGATTGGCCAGGCCTTGCGTGCACTTGCGTTGACCTGCGCTCACTTTGGTCGAGATAAAATCTGCGCGCTAGTCGACGCAAGTTTTTCACCGTTTGGCCACCCAACCTAAGTCAACGCAAGTTGAGTGACGTTCATTCGTTGCTACAGCAACCTATTACCCAATGAAATACGGGATGTTTCTGCCATGAAAATTTTTTTTTTTTACGGCGACTTGCGTGTACTTGCGAGGAAACTTGCGAGTCCGTTTGGCTACCGCGGCAAAGCAAGTCTCTGTGCAAGTTCAACTTGCGGCTACTTGCGACTTCTTGCGAGTTCGTTTGGCCGGGGCTTTAGAGTTGCTCTGATCCATTTTGTGGTTTTCCCTCAGGTTTCAGCAGCATCAGAGTCTGGCTCAGAGTGTGAAAGGATCCCGTTATTATCAGACCATTCCTCCAGTTCAGGTGGAGTGTCCTCTGTTGGATGGAGATCCCACTTCGATTCCAATCATATTTGAAGACAAGTATAGTTTCTCTGAACCCAGAGAACCAGGTACTTACAAACCCCTTTGTTCTGGAGATTTTGTACCCAAACTTGGTAAAAGTAGATAAACATTCTAATATTAGTGTCGAGATGGAGTTCAACTGATCATGATAGCTGTGCATTGGTCACATTAAGCTGAGAAATGAAACGTTTTTAACTTATAGCTGTGATCTTAAAGCTGCAAAATGTAGTGATTGCTGATAAATGCCGAAAACGTTAACTATTTTTACTGGCGAGGGAGACTCCAGCACCCCGTCTCGACCTTCTAATGTTGATTGGGTTCATAATCTTCCTAATTTAGCAATCTGGGTGTTTGTTTATTTAGCATCAGTTGTTTTGGCTTTATTGTCAGATCTTCCCAGAAACTCCGAGTTGGAAGACATATTTTTCACGGTGGATTCGGACGAGGTTGATAGCGCCGGCATGGATGATAGATTCCTCCTTATTAACGCTAAAGGTAAATAAATGTATTTTCAGTACTTCCAGAGAAGCTGCCCCACGGAATCGTTTCAGTTGGGCGCACTCCATGAAGTTCTCAGGACTTTGCACGCTTCATAGCAATGCTCGAGCAGTTTCCTGTAGGCGAGTGAGACTTTTTGAAAATAACAGTCTTGATCTTTCTGTGTGTAAAGTAACAGAATTGTTTAATCCATTTAGATTCTGATGAAGCCGAGAAGAACGGTTCAGCGTCACAAGCAGTGTCAGAAGAGAGTGTCCACGAAGCTGAGACACAAGCCAGCCATGATAGCGAGGCACAAGCCAGTCACGATAGCGAGGCAACAGGGAAGAACCTTGACAAAGGATTGGAGCAAACGGACGAGACAGATGAGACAACCGAAAACAGCGAGACAGCTCTAGACGACATAAATATTGCGATAAATGGCGGGACAGACGATGCTCCAAGTGAAGATTCTTCACATTTACTGGAAGATTTGCAGTCGGCGTTAAGTAAATGGGAAAGCACCCAGCCGCTTATTCAACAAGAAGACGCTAAGGCGCCTGATAATGAGTCTGATGTTAAAGAGGATGTTGAAAACGAAAGGACTAGCGAAGTTAAACCTTCTGAGGGCGGCAAGGGCCAGAAAGAAGATAGTTCAGACGACACTGAGGAGTCGGACTTTGTTGATGCTCAAGCGATAAATGGCATTGAAATGCTACCAAGTAGTGACATCAACGCCGATGATTCGGATGCTTCTGGTGAAATTGATAGTTCTGCGGAAAAGGTGTCGAAAGAAACTGTTGATCAGGATGTCGATGAAACAACACTCATCTGCAACGATGCTGCAAAAAGTTACTCTGCGGACATCACTGAAAGTTCAAACGAAGAAAACTCCGAGGAGCCCGAACTTCAGTTCACCACTGATCGTGAAGGCTCGCAAGACGACCTGCTTTCGTCTCCCCCTGACGCGGGAGCGGACTCGAGTAGCTACGAGACGCCGAGGTCTTCCGAAGCATCCCCGAGTGCAACTTCGGAAAATCAGTCCAAAGTTGTGACTATACAACCAACTGTCAACGGAGTGTCGTGTCGTAACTCAGTGACCGATGGTGCACCAATCCCTCCATCAAGGAAAAACAAAAAGAAGGGTCTTTCTACGGCTTCATTAGGAGGATGTCTTCCCATGGCCTGCGCCGGAAACGCATCGCCAGCCTTTACTTTATCCCGAAATGATTCTGTTTACGGAGGAAGCGTGCGATCCAGGTTAGTTGCTTATGTAGGAAATTAGAAAAAATTACTTAATGTGTTGATCATTGTAAAAGTGAAGTTGCGGAGGCCTCCTGGCTAGTGCGCTCGTCTCTGGATCGAGTGGTCCGGGTTCCAGTCCTGGCCGGGGACACAAGGGGCGTTACTCTCACAGTGCCTCTCTCCACCCAGGTGTATAAATGGGTACCGGCGAATTTAATGCCAGGGGTAACCCTGCGATGGACTAGCATCCCATCCAGGGGGGAGTAGAAATACTCTTAGCCGCTTCATGCTACAGAAACCGAGATAAGCTCCGGCCTGATGGGCTACTTGGCTCGTATGCAGACTTAACCTTTTACCATTTGAAAGGATTAATCGATTTTCGTGTTTTTAAATCCGTCCTTTAGGTTTGAGATAGCGAAAAGATCAGTGAAGCGCAGTTTGAATTATGCCTGCCAACTTTACAGGTGAGACCAGAGGGTTCATGATTGATGAACGGCAAAACAAGAACTGTTTCATTTTCTAAATTCGTCGTCTTTTACGTACAGTCAAAAACGTGAACGGTGATTTTTGTTGCCTTCATATCCGTCATCTGACCATACTGTCAATCAAATCTGTCGGAGAAGCCTCGCCCCCAGTGTCCCTCTTGTTCCTAACCCCGCGTCGAGAAAAGATCCTGGGAATAAGTGTATGCATGGCGGGCACTTTCTGACAATGTGTTATATCAAGAAAAATGCACGTTTGTGATTCTTCGTGAATATTGAAATACTGAAGAAATTTTTTTCACGCTCTCTTCCGTTGCTTACTGTTCATCCCCTTGCTGGCTTTATAACAGAAACAGTAGAGTGTTCATGTGAGGAACAGTTTTCTTTGGTTTATCTTTGTAGTGATCGCTGCTTCCAAGGAATTCGCGAGCCGTACTTTAGTGCCCAGGCTCCTGAAAGCATCCAGACGCACTTGATCGTATGTGTTCATGGCTTGGATGGTAAGTATCCCCTAGCAAAATAAGGCTGTCGATATTCTTACTGTTTGACGGCAAGAACAGTATGTTAAGTAATATATCAAACACGAGAGACAGTGTTTCATCGGGATATCCAAACACCGAGAAAGAAGTTGAAAATACGACGCGCAGCGAAGTATTTTAGACAAAATTCGAGTTGTTTGGATAACCAATGAAACACTGTCTCGTATGTTTGATATATCTTCTCAATCGAAGCAAAAACTAATGAGTAAACGGAGAAGTGAAATCGTCAAAATCTATGCTTATTAAGACCGGGTATCCAAACCTCTTTCTCACGGCTGTGATTTTCTTTGTTTTCACTTGTTGAATTATTAATAAGTTTGTGAAGTTAAGAAGGTTAACCGTTTTTGGATGGAATCATTTTCGACCATACGCTGTAAACTTTCCCTTCTCATCATCCTAATTCCTAAATCTTTGAAGTCGATTCGTATCTATCACAATGAATTCATTTTGAGATGTGGCGGTTGTTTTTCTGTTTGGCAGGCAACAGCGGTGATCTTCGTCTTGTTCGATGTTATTTAGAGATGGGCCTCCCTTCCACGAAGATGGACTTTCTTATGTCCGAAATCAACCAGGTGAACAAAATGTCTGAAGACTAATACAGCCATGTTATGCACTGCGTGACGATGCCGCACTTATGAGGGTGTTCAAGTTAGTCAAGTCAAACACTGTCTTGACTTTAAGGAGTAATGCTAACCCCACATTTATCTTAGCTCGTCTGTAGACGACTTCTTCAAGTTTACATCTTGTTCTCTGTGAAAAAGTGAGTGCTGTTTCAACATTTACTATGAGGATCGGACTAAGCGGTTTCTCGAGCAGCTCTCAGTCACGGTATTTTGACCGTGTACAAAATTACCTTTTTGATTGGAAGAAAACCTGAAAATAGTAATTACTAAGATAGAAAAACATCAAAGAGATAGTAATAAACCATAGAGGGACAAGGATGGTTGAGGATGGAGAAGATTAACACGGATTGCAAAGTGCAAATTTGATTTTTGATTTTTTTTTTTTCAAGATGCGCAAACCGTGACGTAGCTCCTGTACTCCTTTACTTTCCTCGCAACCTTTTAGTTCATCTTTTGTAATGTTTGATGTTGTCTTAACAGCCTGACACGTTCGTGACATTCGAAGAGATGACTGAGAAGCTGGTTCAGGAAATAACGCATCACATTGAAGCGTACAATCTCTTTCCCACCAAAATCAGGTTAGTTGCTTATGTCTTCATATCCTCGGTCGCGGGTGATGTCACGCCATGCCCATCTGAGGCGTTGCGTGACAATCCAATCAACAGCTGGGATGGAGACTTCTTGTAACATACTACCCTTAGTGGGTTACCTTAAAAGGATATCCTGAACGTGACACCCAACTACTTCCATAGGGGCTACATACACAGCAATTTAAACTTGGGACATGTTTTCTCTTGATTTTCAAATTGAAATGATTCACTCAGAGAGGAAGGCTTATGAAAGATATTTCTTGAAACTGGCTTTGATAGGAAGTAGAAGCTGTACTCTTTCATCATCTTGGAATTGACTTACTTTTTGGTTAGTTTGCTTGTAATTTGAGTTGTTTCTCAGTTTATTAGGTAAAGATATAAATATCACACCCTTTACCGTGAAAACTGAGGGCAATGTGCTATTGGTGACAAAATGTGCCATATTTATTCTCTTCTACACTTTTAACGCCAGTTTGTGTTCATCTCCGCAGTTTTGTCGGTCATTCTCTGGGTAACATTATCATCCGGTCCGCTCTCGGCCACCCTGAGATGAGGCCCTTTTTGGACAAGATCCACACATTCTTGTCCCTGTCGGGTCCTCATTTAGGAATGCTTTATCCAACGAGCTCTCTTGTCAGCACAGGTAAGAACTGTCTTGCACAGAATCTTTTAAAAGGGTAATTTAGACAGCTTTTTAGTTACTGTAAGTCGTAGGTCGTTACAACTCGTTACAACAAACTTGACGATGTCGGGGTGAACTGCTACTCATCTAAGCTCGATTACCAGGCGCTGTGCGAGAAAGGAGCCCGCTGTTATAATAGTTTCACCCTGGCCTTGTTGTTGTTTACATCGTTTAAATCGCAATTTGTTGTGCACAGTTACTTGTTTTATCATAGTTAGAGCGGTGTTTGCTTGAAGGTCGAAAGTAAATCACATAATGCTTTAGTTTTTTAAAACTACACTATCCGATCGGCTGAAATTCTCGCGCCGCTTTCAACGTTCATCCAATGAGAAGTAAAACCAAAGCTCTTCGCATCGGCTATATGTATCTGCTTCGAGTTAATTTAGTTCAGTGGATGGCCTGTGTCCTTTGTGATTCTCCGTCTCCGTCTCAGTCCATCAAGGCGCAAAAAAAAAAAACTTTGTCAGTGTCCAGCCATCTTGACCGAACAAGCTTTTTCAATAACCCATATTTATTGAATACCGTTCTAAAGCCCATATATATACAGTAATAATTTTAGACCATTAGCAACTTTTTCTTAAGTACGAATAAAAGTTTCTTATAGCCTACACGTCGTTGCCCTTCATTTCTAGGTCTGTGGTTTATGCAGAAATGGAAGAAGTCGGATTCGTTGTTACAGTTATCGCTGCATGATCATCCTGACCCGCGGCAGACTTTCATTTATCGTCTCAGTCAGTCAGAAGGTAAATGAAATGACCAGTTTGTTAGTGATCTAGAGGTCCATTTGCCAAAGTTGTACAGTGCCTCGTTTTATCGTAAGAGGCGTTACCTTTTTATGATTGAAGTTTGTTTTTCTTCTTTCAGGTTTGCAACATTTCAAGAACATTCTTCTTGTCAGTTCAGTACAGGACCATTACGTGCCATACCACTCGGCCAGGATAGAGACTTGTCGAGCAGCGCTGAGAGAAAACTCCGAGCTCGGTGAGTGGTTAAGAGTTGTTTCCGCAAGAAAACTGTTTTGCAGTCTGCAGGGAAAGTTGTTAGCATCTGTAGTGTGTAGTTTGCCCTACCTCACCCCACTGTCTACTTCCTTCACCGTGCATGGGATAGGTTGTAATAACATTACTACAATACGCGAGCGATACTAATATCACTTATCATTTATTCTCTTTACCAGCTGTTGCTTACAGGGAAATGATCGACAACTTACTCAGACCACTGGAGGATAGAAAAGACATGAACCTTATCCGATACAGTGTCTATCATAATCTTCCGAGCTCGGCGAACTCGTTCATTGGTAGAGCTGCGCATATAGCCATGTTAGATTCTGAACTATTTATCGAGAAACTGCTTTTAGTGTCTGCGTTAGATTACTTTAGATAGGGATGTGTTTCCGACAGTCGTGGGATGGGTGCGGTTTTGGGCCAATTTCTCCTTCCATTCGCCGAATCTAATCACCCCACGTTTACTCCCTTGTCCTGAATTTCATTCAGGGACTTTTCTGATGTCAGTCGTGTTCTTTGTCACTACCAGAAATTGCGATGTAACAAAAAATTATCCACACGTCCTGATCGAGTATATGTGCTTCCGGGCAGCACTCGGAACGCATCCGAAGAGCTTTTGATTGTTAATGGTCCAACAAGATGAGAGCACGAGCGCTTTCCGATAGGCTTGCCTAAGAGTCGGCGCTTACCGATTCTCGTTTGATAGTATTTTAGTCCAGAACTGGAAACTTTTTTAAACGGAGGAAACGAGGTCGCTTTGTTCCCCTTTGTTAGCAAAATAAGCATAGAAGTAATCCTAAGGGTAATGTGATTTTTCCGGAGGGATTATTATTCTGGGAGCCTTTGGGGATTCGTATTGTGCGAAGTGCTCGCATTTCAAAAGAAACCGTGATAAGGTAAAATTAATATCCATTTTGTATGTTTGTTTGTTTGTTTAGGGAGTATAATTTGTACAATATAGAATGTCATCAATCACGTTTAAGATAATAGTGGTTAATGGGTTCCAGTATTATAATGGCTCTAGTTTCAGGTTAATGTAGCCTGTGCCGAAAAGCACTCCACAGACAAAGAAAAGCTGAGGGAAATACTAACAATACAACCAAATTGAGTGACTGAGTTTTGGTTACCACAGAGGTTTAAGAAGGAATCCACCAGCAGTTCGAGTAACAAGGGGACAAAAACTTTGTACCGAGATTACTTACTTCGTATTGCAGACTTTTGTGCGTCTCTTTTAAATATATTCCCAAAAGAAATCATTTCTAACAATACCAAATGCAGAAAACAAATTTTGAAACACTTGAAAGTACTGATGAAATGAAACGCTGATGATAAAATTTTACTTGTGTTTGCACAATTTCCCTGAACTTTGAAATTTATTTTCTCGAGTTCTCATGGGAAAATTTTTTGTATTTATATCTTTAGCTTTAAGAAAATATAAAAAGGACTAAAATGCCTAAAATTATTCTGGTACCAGGTTTTTGTGCACTGAAAACGGAAATTGCTCGATCTCCTATCGGATTTAGTTAGTCTCTCTGTGAGTAAGGTAAATGTAGGAGAAACATGGGTTTGAATACCTTAGTGAATGAATGGGTGGACAGGAAATCTGGGCTTCATGAATTGTTTGGATAAAAACGGACTATATTTATGAACATATATACAGCAACTACGTGTTACTAAATGATTAACGGCTGTCGACGGGAAGCGGTAATTATATATAAGATGCGATCCTTATATCATAGGTAATTTAACTTATTTGAAGTGGTGGGTTTATTCTGATGTGAATAGTAATTTTTTCATTTTATAATAAAGACAAAGATCTGGATTGCAATTACTGTGTGGCATTACAAACTCTCTTAAGTGGTTGTGGAACAGATACATGGCTTTAGACCGCGTCCCCACTACTCTTTACGAAATCACGACGGCGACGCCGAGGACAACGTCGATTAAAAAATTGATTTATATTTTACCTACAAATCTCGCGATACTCTTAAGTCATTTAGTTTGTTTATCACTGCCAAAACTATTACAAATCTAAATCCGGAACACAGCGATAAATTTGAAATAAAAATTTGAAATATTAGCCGTCGTGGTTCACGTTCTCCAGACAACGCAAAATTTGGTCATTTCACGTTGTTGTCTTGCAAAGGACGGCAAGAAATGTACCAAGAATTATAACGCACGTGCACAGCCATTGTTCTGCTCATTAATTCTTTTGTTCACTGTGACGTTCCCGTTGCCGTGGCCGTCGTGGTTTCGTAAACTCCCTAGTCTCCTCCGCAGCCGTTATTAGGGTCGTCACGCAACGCTTCTTGGGGGAGAAGCGTTGCTTGACGACCCTAATAACGGCTGCGGAGGAGACTACCACTACTCCGGAAAAATTTTAAAACGTAGCTTTATTTCTACGGTTAGGCCTACTGTCCACACTAATCTGTCACGAAAACGGAGCTTTACGAAAACACTCTTCTAACCGTAGGAATTTGAAAACGCCTTCTTTGCGTTTTAGTGTGGACAAAAAACATGTTGAAAACGAAGACGTCACGGTAATCATGGGATTTCCCTGAGTTTTCCAAAAATAAACACAAATCCAAAATGACCGGTCACTGCTGCGTTTTCAAATTTCTCCGGCGTAGTGTGGACAGAAAACATTCGATACGTTTTCAGAGTGGAGACGCCTTTTTAAATTTCTCCGGGGTAGCGTGGATACGGCCTTAGATCACTTCCATCGTTTTCATCTACGTGTGGACACGCCACGAAAAAAAAAAAAACATGTTTGTAAATTCGCGCCGAAGTTTCAAGGTACCCGAAATTTATATGCTTTTGATCAATAAATACGGGCGCAACTTTAAACCAGGCGTTTCCCTGTCCAAGGATTTGAGAGTTAAGGTGACAGAAATGGTAGACTACGAACAGTCCCTCTTTCGCTTAGTCCGTCGTGCGTGACGGGAAAGAAAAACGCGAGAAAAAAATGGCCGCGCGAACTCCTAGGGGCGAGAAGCACGCTCGACGGACTAAGCGAAAGAGGTATTACTCGTAGTCTACAGAGAAGACGGTTATGCTTCCAATACGTGAAATACGTTGAAGGTTTCTTATTCAACATTCAACTATATACAAGTACGCCCTTCAAACTTCAAATGTTTGGCATCGAAACATGTCATGTTGTCAATGGTAATGTTTGTGTCGTCTGCGCAGAAATGTTCGCAGACAAAACCAACATTACTCTTTCTGGTTTCACTCTAGCTGACCTTGAACAAGTGACAAATTCAGAGCTAATGAGTCTTCATTGCCGGCTACAACAAGCAAATAAACTTAGGCTAATATAGTGAAAACTTCGTTCATGGTCGTTGGCTCTTCCTGCCTATGACGAAATTAGCATCAAATTAGAAAAACAACCAATCAGCAGAGTTGGTCACGCTATATCATAAGGTTTGATTATCGATAATCGACTTTCCTGGTCTTATTTTGTGTTTAATATTTTGAGAGTGGCAGTTTGCGCATTTATTTTTTTCAGCCAGAATATTTTTTTTTTCGTCATGCTTGAAATGCTTTTACAAATTGCAAGATAGATGTTCTTCCCCTGTCCGGATTTTTTAACTTAAGGGGGAGGGGGAGGGGCAGGGAGGGAGGGAGGGACATCGCGCCTTATGGAATAAGATTTGACGTATTTAGACAATGGAGAAGGACCACACCCATTACACCCGTGTAATAAGGATCAGTGGAATTAACTATGCCCAATTTAGCATCCAATTGCACAATACTCGTATTGTACGATTTTTGAAAGGCTATGATGGCAAAGAAGAACGGGAACTGAATGCCCGCTTCATTCAGCATTGCTCCGTGTAACTCGGTTAGACTCAGCTGAAATGTATGACCTTCATTCAAGTACTCGCGTGTTGTTTTGCATGTTTTAACCGTTTTCAGACTGGGCGGATGGAAACACGGTCTGTTTAACTTCGGACAATTACCACTTAACAGCTAGTAGCAACCATCCTTATCGCCACGAACGATAATTTCATTGCGATTCCGTTGAAAGAAATGAATTAATTTTAATCTGACATTAGTATATCTATTAAAGCAAGCGTTTGAGAGGACCACATTTGCTGAGTTCCTTCGTAAATTTTAACTGTTTAGGTTTTGCATTTGAAGTGCACGTACGTTTTGCAAACCAAAAATGTTAATACGATTAATAGCCCTTCTTGTAAATAGCCCTGGGGCAATGGTTTCTAAATTTAAGCCACCTTTGGCAGTTCAAGTCATTTTCGCTTGAATTAACAAAGTTGAAAGCAGAACTTTCTTGAAGATCTGTTCTTGGGGAAATTTTGCACTCTAGTTTATATAAACTAAAATCTAAAGAAGCAAAAGCATAAAAACGAAAAAGAAGTAATTTATCCGACCTGTAGAGATGATCAACTGACAACTGATAGTCAACTGACGCTTCTAACCTACTGAAATTTTCAATAGCCTGTCCCCGCCTGTCCACAACCCACTGAACCCAGACTCTATTCAACCCAAATTTTATCGCAATTTCCCCGATATTTAACCATTATGTTGTGTCATATATGCCTACTCGAAGTGAACCACCAATACGTACATATGCGGTTGTCACGGTTCTCTTTGGCCTGCGATACAAACTCTCCAACAAATAATTCTTTTATCTAATGTTTCTTTAAACCTTTCACAGTGTAAATTATCGTTTTAAATCCAGAATCAGGGATATTTTTCCACCTCAGTTTGCTGTCATCCGAGGAGTAAAACGTGTTTTCGCGGGGGTGGTAGTAGGAAATTCTGAACTACCACGTGACTTAAATGGGCCAATCAAATTAACAGAAAAGAGGCGGTCGAACTAAGTCGTGTGTCGCATGTGGTGTGGAAATCCATACTACAGTTTTATTACTTTTCTACAGAGTTTTTAGTGTATTTTGTAGATATTTCAACTATATATAAAGGAGGAGAGTATCTCTAACAATGGTGGACCAGCCTGGCGCTGGTGGCTCTCGCTCCTACAAAATCCGTGGGTATACGAGAGAGAGACAATCTGCGAAACCGTATGCCCGTCCACCTGGGCGAAAGAAGGTACGTCAGTTGAACTTCGTCCAATATTGAGTTTCCCGTTTCCTTAAACTTGTAAAACGGTGCTTTCACTATGAAAGAAGTAGCAGTCTTTAACTTTATACGTAAACTGAGCCGGTACTACTTTGTTGGGAAATAACCCCATGCTCTTCGTGTGTTGCATTGCAGGGAGTTATTGAAACGGTTAAAGATTTCTTCTCACCGGCATGGCTGGTAGATCTTTTTAAAGGAACTCAGAGATCACAAGCTGTCGAAATCGAGGACGCCGAAGATGAAAATGACCAGGACGAAGTGTCACAGAGAGTTGAACAAAGCTCCAGTGTAGATTCTAATGAGCGAGCATTTAGTCGACTCGACCAAAGGGTTTCTGCACCGACCAAGGTCGGAAACGGGCAGTTGGGATCTTCGTTCGGGCCGGGATATTTTTCGTCAATTCTACGAGAACGGGAACTTTCTAGCGAAACACCTTCGACTTCAAGACCTTCACGAACGTTTGGCTTATCTAGCGGAGATGATCGTCTCGCAGAAGCTTCTACGAGTTCGGGTAGATCTGAGGAATGCGAGAGCGAAGTTCCAAAATCGAGGAACGAGGAAGATTTCGCGCAACTGGAAACCGTCGTGGTAAGTTGAATCGCTTACAACGTGATAAAATATAATTAATTTGTGACAATGCTCGCACTGGTCTTTGTGAAATTCCTTTGATTGGAAAAAGGGGCTACAATTTTAGCTTGTGCTCAGAATGCAGCCCCCAAATGCATGCGAGTTGCATTGATCAAAGGCCAAGGCTAAATACTTTGGTGGGTGAAAGTGTTATCAAATTATTTAATCACTCATAATAACATTCACTCATCTGGGTAGTTTAGACTTCAAAGAAGTACGCAGACTACTCCAGGTTACCATATTTATTTGCTCATGAACAACAGAAAATCCTATATCTGGTAGTTACACACTATATTAATTATTTCCACTTTGATTCACCATGTACATCTTGTGTAGGTATTTACTTTCTTACTGTGTAAGCTTCCTTTGTATGGCACATTCTGTTAATTAAAATGTACATGTACCTTACGGAAATGAATGATGAGTGATGGTATGCGTGTGATCTGACGGTATAAATAATACCATCCTCCGTTGCAGATTGCCGTGTAAAACTGGTATTCTAAAAATATTTCCACTTTGTTACATTATTCAACTGTAGTATAGTATGCGTCTTCCATTTTTCCTGAAATCTGGTGCCAGTGAACTGATATTTCACCACATTAATGCTCAGTCTACCATAGCAAACTTCACAGAATTATAAGATATATAGAAAGTTTACATCAATCTTTTTTCATGGAAATTGCAATCTGAAATAAGGAAGTAGATTTATGAACAGTAATGAGCAATCAGTAGTTACCATCACTCATCATAAGTTTTGTTGGCGTCAAGGCCTGTAATTAAAGAGGTCAACACAATGTTTTAAAATACTATGTAGCATAAAGTGTTTAATCTGGTCTTCACTTGTGATGAATGGAAGGATAAGTGCAAGGAAAGGAGTCCACATTTAAACATAGAGATGTGGAAACGCTAAAGCCTTGCATGCGTGCTTTCATTTCGCAGTGTTTCGTGTTATTATGCCTTTAGTGAATACCAAGCTAAAGACAAACCAAAAATAATTTTCTGATCCTATGAAGAAAAATCTTTTTCAGAATTTTACACAGGGGACCTAGTATATCCTGAAATGCTTTTACCTTCAACCTTTACAGGAAGAAGACCTCTCTATAGTCCAAACCAACAGGCAAGACATGAGTAAATCAGATTCAATCAAGACTTCCACTCCTGCCTTGTTTTCGACTTCTGGGGTCGAAAGAAGACCCAATACCTCAATATTTGGAGAACCATTATCCACGTGCGAAGCTTCATCATCAGGTGGAGCAAGTACATCCAGGCCACAGCTGTTCAAGCCATTGTCTGAATCTCGTCCTCAGGCTTACTCCTTACCTAAAAACAGGCCCTCTTTCTCTGTGGCTGCTTTTGGCTCTCCCCTACCAGTAAGTGATTGAGTTTTAAGGGGGCACTGTCATTGGTGTGAGAAGAAAGTTGTGCTATATCCCAGGGCTAATGAATTTCATGGTTTGGCTAGTAGATTCTATCCTTTGCTTGTCCTGAGGGCGAGTAAATTTTCTTGGAAATTTTTGAAATTTGAATGTTAGGAAATTCAAATTATTGAAGTAGCTAAGGAGATGAAACTATCATGTTAATTTAATTTTAACTTAATTAATCAGGGTAATGAGATGTTTTTTTGGAAAGGGGGAGGGCAGGGTTTGTACGGGTCCTGGAAAACCTGGAAAGTCCCGGAAGTTTACAGTGGCATTTTCCAGGACTGGAAAGTCCTGGAAAAGGGCTACTGGTCCTGGAAAGTGCTGGAAATCTGTTAAACTCAAGTAAAAAATATGAAATGTATGGCAGACAGCAAGGAGAATTAAAATTGAGATCTTGGGAGTGAAAGGGTTGACGTGAATTTTAGAGTCCTGGAAAAATCAARCTGAGTCCTGGAAAAGTCCTGGAAATTTGTTTCTGGAAAAGGGTACGAACCCTGGGAGGGGGGGCATCATAGTTATGGTTTGCCTGAAGTTGTACCTTGTATCATGAGTAAAACTTCCAGAATTCAAAGTTTCATTGATGGAAATCTAAAAATGTGAGTCTAATTTGGTTGGAATTACAGTGAAACCCCAGTAACTTGAACTCAGATAACTCGAATTCCCCCGCAAACTCGAACTGAGTCTCAATTCCCTTGGATTTGACCCAACTTTTCAGTCATTTTTACTCGGTTAACTCAAACTCGGATAAGTCAAAAATCCTGCTAACTCAAACTAAATTTTGTTTCCCTTGATCAAAATTTACCCCGATAACTGAAATTTCTGGTTCTTATAAGTCGCCATGGATGCCCATTGGGATATCCCATTCGCTTTTCTTATCATGTGATCGAATTCTAACACTAGAACAAAGACTGGAGCAATTTGATTTTAATTAGTGCAACAAACAGATCACTGCAAGCAAAGTCAGATTTGCAATTGATGCTGGTGAACGAGGGTGCAAAGGAAATCAGAAGCCATGTACAACAAATAGAGGCATTAGCAGAAAGAATCTTCAGGAGCTCCCTATGACAACAGACGCTGCATTCATTTTTTGTGCCTAAGTAATGAGAACTTTACGGATATGATAGAACGACCCCGACGCAAAAGGGAACATAAATTGAGTGCATTAAATAGACTTAAGTTACATTCACAGTATTGCATTGTTGTAAGAATGCATAAGCGTTACAGTTGTTACAAAATGTATTAGTTTCTCGTGAAATAACTTTTATTTGCACTGCATTGTATACCGAAGTGCTGAAAATCAATAAACTATTAATTGTTAACCTGGAAAATTGGATATTTTAATCGACTCTAATAACTCGAAACCCCGCTAACTCAAACAGTTTTTCATTTCCCTTCAGAGTTCAAGCTACTGGGGTTCTACTGTACTTTAATTGTGCATGTGCACTGATCATATTAAAGAAATCAAGGTACTTGACCAAAAATGAAACAGTCACGACAGTGCTCCTTTAAGGATGAAGTTCTGCCGAATGATTTTTGTCAATGATTTGACATTATTAAAAAGTTAGGTAGTCATGGGCAATTTTTTAATTCAGTAATTGTTTGAGAGATATGTTGCTAGGTCTAAAATGACACTCTTGAAGCTGCATGTATCTTGTGTCATTTCTAGAAGTTAATGAATCATTTTTTACCACTGCACTTGGATCATGAGAACTAGGTTACAGACCCATGAAAGTTTTCTCATGTACAAAAGGCTCATTCTCATAAATTTTAGGAAACAACATTCTATATTATTGACATTTATCTCTAAAGTTCTAGAGAAACATTTAATCTGCTTTGCTCGATGAATTTACGGTTGTTAAATGGCACTATATTTATATTTATGTACCATTTTGCCCAAAAGTGAATCTAGAGTTATATGGAAATTTCACTAAAAACTGTTCTTTATTTTCTAAAAAGGCTCAAGCTTAACTCTTGATGCAGGAGATAGAAGTTTTGACAAAATATTAAATGTTAGCTATTTTCCCTTTCCAGCCTATGCCTCCTCAACCAGGTGGCTTTTCCTCTCCATTTTACCGTGGAAGGACATCTTTTGGTGGAGCATCCTCTATACATTCTTCAGGATACAAAAGACTGAGAACACATTCTCCAACCCCTGGAGAGGTATAATAACATGTGGAGATCATTGATAACGTTGAACCCTTTGTTGCAGACTCGTTCAATTTTTTTTTTTCTTTTTAATATCATAAACTTTATTTGTTTTCTGCACTACTAGTTTCATTCATTGTATGATTTGTTCTATGTACGATCTGTTTTTTTTTTTTTTTGGTATCCACTGAAGGGACAATATGCCAACTGATTTTGTGTAGTATGTCCAGGAGCTTGCTAAAAACTGGCCTTGTCATCTTGCAGTAGAAGTAGTGTTAGTGTAGTGTGAACGAATATTGAACAAGGTGTTACAGACTTCATTAGCTGTTCTCTGGTTTTAACCAGTCTTTGGAAGGGTGGAAAGTCATCCTCTTAAATCTCTTGACACTTGAAATGGCAATTCATGTACTTAAAGCATGTATTTAAAATAAAATTTAAGATGGTTTCTTTAATTTGATTTAATTCTTTTGTAGGCTCCAAAACCAGTAAGAAAAGTGATAACACCGAAGCCTGTTTCAAGTAAGTTTTTATTCTTTCGCATCTTGACTGAACAAGTTTGGTCAATAAAGGAATAACTTATTATATATCACTGAATAGGTGGGCATGAGCCTTTTCAGGAAGTGCTGTCTGGCATCTCGCATGTTCAGTGCCTTTATTTCCAGTTTATGCATAGATTTGAAGCATTTAATACTTACTAACCCAATCAAAGTAAAATAAGGTGTATTTGTTGATTTAGATAAGTGAGACCAGATGGATCGTTTTTGGTTTTTTGCACAGATCTTGCTCTGCTTGGTGCATGTAGAATGAACTTGAGCCAGATATTCCTGCCTCTGTCATTCCTACTCAGTCAAAAAGAACATGAATTCATATATTAAGTAAAAATTGAATTTAAATTAAAAATGCTATCTTTTCCATTTGTTTAGCTGCTGGAAGTAGTGGTGTAACAAGAACAAGAACAAAAAGAACATCTATGTATTAAGTAAAAATTGAATGTAAATGAAATAATTATAACATCTTCATTTGTTTAGCTGCTGGAAGTAGTGGTGTAACAAGTCAAACTGCAAAAAGAATACTTGAAGCATTAGAAAGCATGTCCTCACCTTTAATTGTAAGTACTTGTGGTGAGCAATCTTTCCTTTCAGTAGTAATCTTTTTTTTTATTGAGAGCATGACAATCCAAACCTAATTGTTTTATTACAAATGATTTTGACAGGATGCCAGAAAGATACCAACGCCACCCATCTCCCCTTCAGCCTCTCCACTATCCTTTTCTGTGAGTATAGTCAAGTCTTTTCACTTGGTATCTTACTAGGCAACAAAACAAAATATTAAAATTTCATATTTCCCTGCTCTTTTGTAGCCTGCTAAACGGCGAAGAGCTCCCCTTCCCTCTCGATCGATAGGTTCTCCACGTTCCTTGAAGGTGAGAAATGAGTTTTTTTTGCTGGTCATTGCTGAACATACATGTAACTGTCGTATACCCAATGGTGTATTCCTTCTTAATTTTTGTGATTCCATTTTGTTTTGTAGGCTCATTTTCCTGGTCCTCCAGTACAAGATCTCTCTGCACCCCAACAAGCAGCAATCTCACAGTTGAGGGCAAAAGAAGCTGTCATACCTGAGAGTGCAGCCACTTCATCTGCTTCACTGTAAGGACATGTTTATATATTTATTTATGTTCAAGTTCAAGGACCTGAAAGAGCTGGAACTTGAAATTAAAATTCAAGACCTTGAAAGTCCGTGCGAAGTGAATTTAATAGTCTCCTAAAAGTCTCTGATTCCTAATAAATTTCATTTCTGGATTGTAAATAATTCAGAAAAACCTATCTAACTGGCATTTTTGTCTGTGCCATGTTATGTTAACCTGCCCCAATGTTAGTGGTGTTGATGTTACAGTTATGGCTGTTGCAAACTACATGTAACTAGATGTCTTTCTTTTCCTTAGATTTTCTACAACGACAACAACCATCCCAACATTCTCAAAGGTATTGGAAACTTAATCTGACGTGCTGTACTTACCCCTACAATGTACTTTTTTCCAACATATTTTCTGTTCAACTATTCATCTCATTGATAAATTTTTGATTGTGATTTGACTAGTTTTTATCTCTGTGCCTTTCAGCCTTCAGTGTCATCATTCACCCCAACACCTTTACCAGTTTCTCTTTCACCGTCATCGTCTAAAGCTGGAGGAAAAGTAAAAAGTTCAAGAAGCACGGGCCATTACACACAGAGAGAAAGAGGCACTGACAAGAGTGAAGCAGAGGTATGTAGCATCTGTTAGCATTTAGATAACTACTGAGGTTTGTACACTTGAGCAATTTTTGTCAGCTCAAAATGGGCGTATTAAACTACTACAGTGTAAAATGGAGGTGTTTAATAAGTGTGATTTTATAGAGAGATTTTATAGAAGCCAAAAAAGGAGATATTTAATATTGAATCTTGTCATTTTTGCTTTACTGATGGCTATTCAAACTACTGCTTTGTTCCTTCACCAACGATGTTGTATTTCTGTACTTTCATTATTCTACAGGTTGTGAATCCAATACCAGAGGTTGTGGCACCTGTTCCACTTACATTACCCAATGGAAAATCCCTGCCCTCCTTTGCTTTTAAGCCTACGTCCCAGGCTGAAACTAAAAGAAGTTCTGCAAAGAATGAAATGGTAGTTACTCTGTTGTGCGCTAATGTCCTGACTTATACATTACATTGCAATTCAAAGACACCTGATCACTAGACTGCAACAGTCTAAATACTAATTAAATTCATCAACAATCAATGAGCTTGGAGAATGGTGCCTGAAAGGATGGTGAAGCCCAAGAGCAAACTAAACCAAGCGCATGGGGTATCCATGACAACCCTGTGAACAGCAACCACACGGCACTATCACACTGAAAAAAAAAATAACAGTGGAAACGCAGGATACCTACCACATGCTAACCATGAAGCTAAAAGGGGATGGGTGGGCTGGGAAAAATTCTGAACAAGATCTGTCCAGCAGTGAAAAACGCATAAAATCACTTGAAATCCAAAGCTGAGCTGTAAAATCTAGGTGTCCCTGCACAAATCCCCCAGCCACCCCTATCTCACTCTTAGGGAGGCTGCTGGCCAGCAGTCTTGTTTGCATTTAACTAAGCCTAAATTACATTTAGCCACATTTCAAGATACAGTTCGAAATAACTAAATATTTTGTCTTGTTTCTAGCCAATCTTTACTGCAACTGCTACAACTGTGGACTTCACAAAAAATAACTTCAAGTTCTCATCACCAGAAGCAAAAGTACCAGCATTCTCTCAGGCATCAGCTTCAGTTACTCAGAGTAGCTCTAATAAGGTGAGTCAGCAGGAATTGGAAATCATTGATTGAACCATGTTGTTATTGAACTGAAACTAATCTTCAATGTCATGACAGTGACTTATTTAGTTTTAAAGGAAGCTTAGAAACAATAGCCAGGGTTTCAATAAGGCCTGGGCATTGGGCAAACTGACTGGCTTTGAGGTTGATTTTGCCTGCCTGGTTTGACCATTTAAAATGAAAGTTTTTCTCATATAGAATCTTAATTCAAAAAGATTTGCGTGCCTGTGAAAACGTAAATGAAATCCCCCACCGGAGATAACAGTTGAAATGGGAGAATGTGTTCTGAGCTGCCCTTGCAACTGCTATGGCTGCTTTGCAACCAACTCCTTATCACCTTTCATGACTGTACTTTTGTTCAGAATAATTTTGATTTGTACAACTTTCCATTAATTTACAAGCTAGAGTGATCAACTTATGTTTTTTCTTGGTAATATTTATGCATTAACCAGGAGGCAGGTGAACAATGAAATAGTATTTCCTGATATACCACTAAATTCTCGGAACTAAGATTGAAAGAAAAATTCAGGCACTTTTGAAGGAAAAAACATTTCACCCGAAAAAGTCACTTACATCAGTCTTGCACCAACCCATTCAATTATGTTCTTTAATTTGCTTTCTCGTAGATTACATTTTCCTTTAGTCAACCGGTACCTGTTAGTAAAAGGTAAGCTGTGAAGATCCAGTGATAAAGGCAGTGTTTTTGCTGTCTTTATGTGGTCAGAAAATGTTAACAGCAACTGAACTTGTACTAGTTGTTAAAATGATAAAAAATATGTTGGGATGACAAAATGGATCATGCAATGTTACATCGGGTGTTCAGTGCTTACCATTGCTGAGCCAAATGCATTTAGTAGTTTTAATATTTCTGGTTTTCCAATTATTGCTTTGCAGTGTTGATGATACTGGAAACCTGTCTGTCTCAAACAAGCAGGAGAAAATACTTGTTTCAGAGGTACATGGACATTACAGTTATTGCTAATATTTTTACATAATTTCCTTAACATTTTTGACACTTAGGTGTTCATAATATTTAGTTGTACAAGTGAAATTGAAAATGTCATTTTCCATTTGAAGATAAGTCAAACATCCTGTTGTCTATTCTTTGTCTTGCCTTGAGATTGACATAATCCTTGACTGCATTGGTGACGTTGGGAAGCTCACATTTACATGTACCACAATGATGTGACCTGTGTACCAATCATCTGATTTGACTTTGCCAAGTTTGAGTGCATTTAAAAGGAGTAAATAGACAAGTTAAACCATTTAAAACCAAAATAGTGGATAAAATGTTAATCATCTTGGTTTGTTTTTCATTCTCATCTCAGACAAAACAGACAGAAAAACAAGTGGAGCCTAATAACAATCTTCTCAAAAAATTTGCACCATTGCCAGGTTCTTGGACATGTGACACTTGCTTAGTGTCGAACAAGGCCACAGATGTAAAGTGCATAGCATGTCAATCATCTAAACCATCCACTGGAAAACCTGCTCCTAAGAAACCACCTCCCTCAAGCAATGACTTGATGAAAAAGTTTGCCCCGCCAGCAGACACGTGTATGCTTAACAATGAAGCTAGCAAAACAAAGTGTGTTGCTTGCGAGACACCAAAACCTGGTGTCAAACCGCGGGTGTTATCATCAAAACCAGTTGTTAACTCTGACCAGGACTTGATGAAGAAGTTTGCACCGCCAGAAGATTCATGGACTTCGGACACATGCATGGTTCAAAACAAATCAACAGACAGCGCTTGTGTTGCTTGCCAGTCACCACAGCCAGGTGCTTCAAAGACTACAGCAGCAGCTACAATGCCATCATTTGGCATTTCATCAAATACTGCACCTGACAGTAGTTTAGCAGCAAAATTTGCTCCACCAGCTGGCTCTTGGACTTGTGACACTTGCATGATCAGTAATAAAAGTGATGACTCAACTTGCGTAGCTTGTCAAACACCAAAACCTGGAGCTAAGCCGGGGACAGTCTCAGCAGCTGGCTCAACCTTGTGTGGTAGTCAGACCTTTTCTTCTTCGCCTTTTAAATTTCCAGTCAATAACTCTTTGAATTCAAATTTCAGTCCTATGCTACCAATTAAATTTGGTGTTGGTAGCTCAGATGTTAAAACCAAGGGTGAATCTACTTCCTCTCCATATTTTTTTGGTTCAAGTACTGCCGATCAGAGCAACAAGAATGACTCAAAACAGGAAGAAAGTACTGCGAAACTTTCCGCCACATTCAAATTTGGCTCTTCATCTTCTCAGCTCAGTGATTCAGGAGTAGGTGATCCAAAGACAAATCCTGTGCCGTTACGGTTTGGCTCTTTTCCTGATAATCAGACTGGCAAAGATGAATCCAACAAGGTAACCTTTAATGGTTCAGTCAACAAGGACAATCCAAGCTCAGGGGGATTCACATTTGGAGCTAACCAAGCTACTCCAGAGTCTACCAGCAAAGGTAACACAGTTCATGCCTAGTGTATGTTAGTTTGTTAGTCTACAATGATTATTTAAGTTTAATGTTGTATCTCATTTTTCATGTTCACCCCATTCTCCTTGTGACTCAGCTGTGGCATTACAAGCTGCCAATACTAACATGTTCAGGCTGTAAACTAGGAAAAAGGCGAAGGGATGTGCAAGCAAAGCAAGCCAACAGGAAGTTACATGTAGACTTGCCTCACTGATTTATAACTCTTTGTGAGACATCATACATGTATAGTTTGTTTTCCTTCATAAGTCAATTTTAAACAAAATAATTGTAGAAGGTACAGTGTGATTGTATGTATATACTGAGTGGCTCTCAATGCTAATTTATGTCGTTTCTTGAAGGAAAACTAAATTCAATAGCTGAAGCAGCAGCCAGTGGATTTCTTAAGGTGCCTGAGATCAAAGAACCTGTCAATGTGGAGCAAACATCCAAACAAACAGGGCCTGGAATGAGTATTGCAGATGCAGCTAAGACAGGCCTGCTTAAAGTTCCCACTGCTGGCGAAAAGAAAGGTCAGAGGCCAATAAGTTATTGATTGACAAGTTATGTAATTAATGTTAATAAATACAGTTGAACCTTATCCCATAGAGCGGTTTTAACTGATTGTTGAAAAGTAATTGGTTTTTATATTGTTGCACTACATAATTGACTTTAAAAACTCGCACCACTTTTTATCCAATCAAAATTAAAAACCAAAACCAATTATGTACAACTCGCACTTCTCGTCAGCCACTTGTATTTACTTTGAGTTTTGATTGGTTCACTGGATTGTCTGTTTTGTCTGTGATTGGCCAGAGTGATTACGTTGGTTTTGGTTTTAGGGCACACTCTATAGAAAATTGCTCTGAAGAAACGTACTATGTTAAGCTTTACAAGTTAATACAATATTGATACATGACATCAGTTTCAGGTTACCTTATTTTCTTTTTTTTGGTCTGTTTGCAGTTGATTTTGCTGCTCCTCCGAATGTCAATCTATTTGCTTTAGCTCAGACTACTACGGATACTTCTAGCAGCAAACCAGATACATCATCAAATTCATCTCTAGGAGGTTTGTGTTGTTTGTATGGTTATAGTCGTCCAATCTATTTTTTGCTTCCCTTTCATGCAAGCAGCAGCATTTGTCCAGCAGAATAGAAATAGAAGATATTTAAATTCCTGTGTTGTGGGAGACGAGTTGCAGGATGTTCTTTCTCAAGTTGTCGAATGCAGCTTTTGACATTTTAAATTAGACTAGAATTTTGTCAAGACGCAGAATTGGAAATTTTCAACATATTTATTTACTGTCATTGAAGTGTTATCAATGTGTTTTGTTTACACAGCTAGCTCCTCAGGATTTTCCTTTACTGCACCCTCAGGAGCACCATCACCCTTCACTTTGGGGGCTGCCACACCGTCATCAGCTAGCACCTCTGCCGGAGATTCTGCGTCATCAGTTACTGGTAGTAAGCCATTCACAAATCCACTAGCCCCTGCAGAATCTAGCTTGACAACGTTTCGGTTTGGTGCAGCCTCGACCTCCGCTACAACTACTTCGTCACAAGCTGTTAGTTCCACAAGCTTGGTTCCTTCACCATTTAGTTTCCAGGCTGTAAATTCTTCCGCACCTACCAAGACCACTGCTGCTTCACCATTCACTTTCATGGCAAATACCGCAGGTCCTTCCACAACTCCAGCAGCGTCATTTAGTTTTGGCTCAAATGCTGCAGGGACGGGAGCATCGGCCGTCACAGGAACATTTCAGTTTGCAGCACCAAACACTGAAACGGCAAGGTCTTTGAATCCCCAGCCTCAAGCTCCAGCTGGAGCTGCTGGGTTATTCCAGTTTGCTGCCACAAGTGCTGTTGCTGCGGTGACAACTGCCACAACTCAGCTACCATCACAAACATTCGGTCTGACATCCACTCCAGTGAGTTCAAGTTCAGAAGCAGTTAAGACGTTTGCCTTCAATGCTGGCTCCACAGCACAAGGATTTTCGTTTGCCCCCTCGCAACCTTCCGGAACAGTGGGAGGTTTGCAATTTGGTGCACCAGCACCTAAGCCTGAAGCAGCATTCGCTGGATTTGCACCTGTGCAACCATCTTCAAGTCAACCAACGGTTAGTCTTCTTCCCTTGAAGAATTTCTTGATGGCAGCAAGATTGATTCTTACCTTACTTTGTTTTCATTGTCGTAAGAGATTAAGTTGTGTTCACACACAATGAAAAATGTTAACACAAAACACGGAAAGGAACCTCCTGAAATCTGTATCCAATTCGGCGCCACGCTCGATTTACCAAAACGTAATTAACAGGATTGATGATATTGTGATGGTGGAATAGGTGATGATTTAGTGAAAGAAGAATTGGTTACAGTGTGGCTTGCAGATCGAGTTACAAGTGAGCTGATTTATCTGTTCCTTGGTTGTTGTTGTTTACAGCCATTTATGTTTGGCGCGCCACCCTCCAACCCCACACCTACTCCAGAAGAAACCATGGAGGCCGATGGTAATAACAGTTCTGGCAATCCATTTTCTGCGCCAGGTAAGTTACTACTTTGTCTTCGGACACTTCTTCTATAAAGCAACACTTCTTAATTATAAAGCCACTAAAAACGGTATCTGGTCGTTAAACCCCCAAGTCGATTAGCCCCTAACCGAAACCACTGTCTATTTCTCGTTCTTTAAGCGTGAATGGGGGCTACTGCTAATCGACTTCTGATTGGGGACCAAACGGTTAGGGGCTAACCGGCTGGGGTCGTTTCACCCAAGCACACGCAAAAAATTGCCAGTTTTAGACTGGCTGAAAGACCCCTTGTACCTTCCTACTTTATAGCACAATTGAGTTAATCATTTTTGTTTCCTGAATTGTTAGCTAATCCTACAGGAAACGGGTTTGGTTCCACAGGACCCAGCTCAGGGGGTTTTGCCTTTGGAGCGCCCAGTGCTCCTTCAGCGGCAGGGTTCAATTTTGCTGGGGCCGCTCAGGCAAATACAGGACCAAGCACCTTCGCGTTTGGAGCTGGTGTAGGAGGAGCCCCTACATTTGGAGCAAGTACTGCACCAACGGGCGGCGGTGAGTGTCTTGAAATATTTCTTTTTAAGAGTGACTGAATAAATCAACTTTTTAAGGTTTACACTAGATGTATCGCGCGAGTGACAAACCTGTCAATACCTGCTTTGTATTTTTGCTGGCCGGTTGTTTTCTTTTCGCCCCTTTTACCACGTGCGATCAAGTATCAACTCACGAGGCAGAAATTCGAAAATAACAAAACAAAAGCAGTGAGTATACTTAGCTTGCGAATATTCTTAACAGTTTTCTAGTGACCGTTGTAGAAATTTGTTTTAAAAAAAAACTCAGAATTGAGCGGAGAAACTGTTCTTGCTGTCTAAATCCTTTAGCCCAGTCAGTTAGTAGTCTGTCCACAGACACATTATTTTGTCTTGAGTTTGTCGAGACCGTAAGCTTAGCGAAATATCAACCGGGCGCGTGGGATATGAACGAGCCAAAACACGAGGGGGTGGGATAAGCCTCTCTCGCTGACCGTTCTCCCGTTCGGTAGCGCTCGCATTGCTCGCGCGCTCAAAGAAAAATAACTCGCTACAAAAGAATTAAATGTCTGTGAACAGACTACATCATTACTGATAAGCAATGTTTGTTTGTTATTGGAAGCTGACGTTCCTTCTGTTTATTATTTCGGTGCATAGCAGCTCCAGTCCCCGGTGGATTTAACTTCAGTGCAGCGGCGGCTAATAACAACAATGCGGGTCCAGGAATGTTCAACTTTGCCGGGGGTGCTGTCACTCCCTCGGGCGGCTCCCTGTTTACCGCGGGTGCTTCAGGAGATCCCAGTAACCCGGCTATAGCCCAGAGAAAGTTCAAGAAGGCTGTTAGACGCGCCAAGCGGTAGCACAACTGTGCCTGCCCTCCCTACACTGGGTTTACGTGACATTACTGTTGTACACTAACCGGGTACAAACCTTACGAGACTTGTGTCTCTGCCCGATCAAACGCAACGGGTTAACGAACGTACGACGTTATTCCGAACTGTCCCGACGACGGTTTTCGTGTAACGTGCCGACTGTTCACACGAACGCTCTGAACCGGCGACGTATTGTCGCAAGACGTTTGACTAGAACGTAGAATGCGTACGACGGCTTATGCACTCGACGCTTTGTCTGACGGACTGAATGAGGCCTGCCTACTTGGACGATGGTTGTTTTGGGAATGGACACGTCCCAGCAACAAGCTCCGCAGAGATCGAGTTTTAGGATTGCTTTAGCACTGCGACCACTTCATGAACAGATTTTACGATGTGACTCCACAACACAGACCAAAGACATTGATTATTTCACATTTGTTATCGTCATTGTATATTTTTAGTATCAATCGTTAATATAGCCTTCAGCGCAGACCGGTTCGGGGGTTCGTCTCGCTAGAGGGCGTGACGATCCCAAAAAACGTCTCTGTGAGGCTGTCAGTGCGGATCAAATTTCTTTGTTCAAACTATGATGTAAGTGTGATGGATTGTGCGACATGGAATTGTTTCTCTCGGACTTCAACG